ACATGCTAATGAGCCATATTTTTTGCATGATAATGAGCCTAAATATATGGCAAAACATTCAAGTATTGTTCATTTTTTGAAAAAACGTAAGCAAAATGTGTTGTTTTTACGCAAAAACGATGCCCGCAAAATACATTTTGTATTGCTCTAAAACGCTGAAAATGGCTCTGAAATTCAAAATTTTTCAGGGGAGAATGCCTCAGACCCCCAGGTGCGGAGCGACTCCGACGTTTTATGACTGATGTTTGAAAAATCCTAGATCCGCCCCTGCTTTACATATAAACTTGACCACTTGTATGATACTCAAGCCACAATGGTCGCACAACATGAAGTGCAATTAATTAATGAATGAATACATCAACCTTGTGCTATCAACAACGTTGATATATTCATTAATGAACAATAAAGATTTTGAGACAAATTTGAAATCTTCTTTAATTACTTAAAGAAGATTGGTCAACCCTGATGTTTGTTGATGTTTTCAATCTCCTGATCTTTTGGATTTACTGCGGATTCTCAAAAAGGTTTGTAAAGACTATGGCATCTTTGTTTTATTTACGTAGAGCATAAATTGTTAGTGTGATTAGTGATACCTATTAATTAGAGTCCACAACTCAACATCGACATTATGATGGTTTAGTGTTTTCCTAACATATTCACGTTATCACCGTTATATTTAATTAATTTATAGGCTATTTAAGAGTTTACTCAAATATACATGTGCTGATAAACCATTATGCTTTAACGCAGACTTCTGTTTTATTATATTGTTTGAGTATGAAAGTAATACAGTATCACTGAAATTCACTAGTACCTCTTATAATGCAATTATCAAGGCTGAAAGGCTTACTTTTAAAATCTTGAAATAGCTTATTCAAAGCAGCCAAATAATATAAAGAAAATTAATTTGTTTTCTTTACAGTGTCCAAATTGTTGATTCAATTCACTAATCCTTCATACTTGGCCTTGTGGTGTAGATTCATCAAGCATCTTTTATGAACTGGGATAGAATAGAACAAAATCCTTAAAAAGTGCATTATGTTAATTTAAATTGAGCGAGATAGTAATTTCAGTTTTATCTTAAGACAATTTTATTGTTGTTTTTACAGAAACAGCTTTCAAAAGACACTGCGAGAGAACTGCCTAATGTATCTGGCACTCCCTCGACTTCTCAAATATAAAGTAAACCAGATAGAAGGCGGAGAGTAAAAGTCAAGTTCGTAAAATAAACATTCTAAAACATGAATTCAACCCATCGGTGTGAAGGATATTTCATTAAATTGTTTTACCGTTTGATCATCGCCATGCATGCGCATACTATGTTAATAATTCATGGCCAAGCCAATGAGATTTTAATAAACAACCGTGAGAAATATTCTGCGTGTTTGGCAATTGTTGGGAAATAATTAAACTATAGATTTGCCAGAGGGAGAACGAAATTTTAATAAAAATGTTATTGCCCAACATAAAACTTTCCGTTTTATGAAGAAAAAAACGAAGAAAAAAACGAAGAAAAGAATGTTGAATAGAAAAATCCCACTTCTTTGTCTAATAGTCTTTGTAAACCTCAAGAACAAAAATAGTCACTGAACCGTATATGTAGGTGTCTATATATATATATAATATATATATTGCTGAGAAGAAGAAAATACATAAAAACTACAATTTCATCCCGACAAGCCTGTTTCGTGATTTCTCACTCTTCAGGGGATAATATTAAATGAATACAAAAGCATGTGCTAGATTATATATACAAGAGGAAGTTAGGGTAAAAATTAAGATAGAATTATATAATATGTTGAGTGTATGGTTACAAATTGGATAAAAGTGCCTTGTGTCTATGGCGACAAGAGGAGATAAGTTTGTTACGTTTGTTGAGTGATGATAGTTGTGGTTGGTAGGTGATAAAGAATTTTTATTTCAGGCATAGGTTGCATCTTTTGTTGGCGCTGTTCTACGGTTTGCTGTGAGTGATGATGTTCCATGAGATATCGTGAGCGATGTTGTTGTCTTTTAGTGTCCATATGTGTTTGCTGAGTTCAGCGGAGTTTCTTAGTTTTTTGTGGCGGAAAGAGGCAGTGTGGTTCCTGTGCCGAGTCTTAAATTCGTTTTCTGTAAGTCTCCTCTTGTCGCCATAAGACTCCAACGATTCAGTCATATATTCTTCCTTCATTGAATGCTTCTACAAATATGATCAGAAGATTCTACATTTGTTGAATCTTCTGATCTATAAAATGCTGGATAGAGAAATACCGCACGGCATTACTACTGAAATAGCTGTTAAAAAAATTGATAAAATTAAAATAATTATCATTCCACTTTGTTTTCGAATTTTTTATTTGCCCAAACGTTCATGCATTTAAATAGCTAAAATTGTATTAAAATTGTCGAACAGGAACAGTTTGAAAACGATTAACATTCAGAGATAAACACATGCACGCCGAGATCTGTGAGAATATTTTTTATATACAAAAAACGTTGTGATGGTAGTCATTGTTACAGGCATCTAATGTAAAATGTTTTAATTTTTAATCATGTGTCAAATAATGTCGTGTGATACCCAGCAAACAACTGATTTTCTTTTGTAGATTCAAATAAGGCAGAAATATTAACAAATTCAAAATTAAAAACATGTTCATTCAGAAGATAACTGGCCATATAATTGATTAAATTTCTATAAGATCGTATCGTTACCATGTCATTTAAAAATATTTTCAAGTTCTATAATATCGTTCTCCACAAACGTTTGAAATTATTATTAACACTACTTTGTTCAATTGCATTTGTCATTTGATTTATTAAAATTTATGTTTAATAATCATTTTCTCAGTTGTACATGCATAAATATCTCAATAGTGTTCATGCATGCCTGTCGTACAACGGACTCCAAACGGACTTTATTATTCTAAAATATTTGAACTTCAGTTCCTGCAAAATGTTATATCTCAGTCTGTCAACAGCTGACATGATGACTTCAACAATCGTTTTGCTTCGCGAAAAATGAGATCAATATGTTATCGGCAATTCATTATATCTTGACATGGTCAACCAATTTAGTGCAATAAAGTTTTTTCAAGAGATAATATTACACATCCAATGAAACAACGCAAACTTTATTATTTTTGGACTCGTTTCGTTTTAAGAACGCCCTCATTAAACACAGCTGTGAATGATGAGGTACAGTATTCAATATTTACGGAAAACACAGTTTATCATCACGTTTGAACAAGGAAGAAGAAGAAAGTAGGGCACTCCAAAGTTGGTCAGACAAATCATTAATAATGAAAGATATTGTAGTGTTCGTTGTGGCCATATGTGCTCTTGGCATTGCTGGAAATACTCTTGTGATCGCTCCAATTTTAAAGCAAAAGATTTTGTTAAAGAAGAACTGCTACTTTTTTATTTAAATCTCGAGATATGTGACGCATTTGTACTATTGAATATATTTCTCTTTGAGATCTTTGAACACTATTTGAAAAGCAATCCAATTTTTTTAAACTGCTTATATATAAGTAGCGTAGATACTTTTTCTCAAATAAGTGGAGTATCTATGATGTTGATCATTTCAGTTCTACTTTATCGTGCCATAGTTCATCCATTGAAACCTTCCTTCAGTCGACAAAAGATAAAAATCGTTTGTGGTTTAGCGTACATCATTGGTTTGATTACGACAGTTGGAATGACATTTTAAGAGTGCACTGTGGATCCTCAAGCTCGTTATTTGATTTACGAATTGTTTGCGTTTTATTCATGTTTCTACATTTTCCCAATAATCTTCATGACTGTGACTTACTCCATAATTGCTCAAGCATTGATTAAACAAAGAAAAGCACTACGAACACTCTCCAATCCGACACTTTCTCATCTAATCCTCCACCAGCTCAAGTGTTCAAAGATATACTCGGCATAGTAAGACATTTATTGTTTGTGTCAGCACAGTTTTCTGTTTCACGGTGGGTCACGCTTATTTTTTGGTTGTAGGCATGCTCTATATAAACAACACTGTTCCATCAAATTCAACCACTAATCTTTACGTCGTTTATGTTCTCCGTCTTTTTGGCTCACACGCGTTAAATCCTCTGATCTATGGAATATCGAATAGAAAAACGATGTGTTTATGGAATTGCTGCCCAAAAATAAGACCAATCTAAGTTGTTTTCAGTATCAAAAAGTAGAGATTTTTTATATAGGGGCTCCTTTATGTATTTCGAACATTATAAAGTAGCTAGAATATAATTTAGTTCTGAATTGCTTTGTGAGCGTTTATATGATTCTAAGAAATGCATTTTTGATGATTTCCAACAATTCATAATTTCATAACAGAATTGTAAATCAGGTCAGCATGTTTTCCATCTCTTTATTTACTTTACTAATAAAATAAATAAATGTGTTCGACATGATTATTTCAAAATTAATTTTGCAGAGTTCTTTCTGTGAACAAAATATTTAAAAGTAATCAGTTTCCTGTCAAATTTGTCGGAGATAAAGAAATTTATTCAATCTACAACAGCATTTTACAAAACAATTCAGCGTCTTTGTAAACATCGCATATTTTGCTTTATATGAACAAATAAATACTAAAATGAGATAAAAGAATTTTGACAGCATGCACACAGTGGCGTTTTACAAATGCAGTAGGCTAAGTAGGCTGAAGCCTACAGGCCCGCCTTTTCAAGACGCCCGTTGTATTTAGACATATTTCACCTTTTGGTTCTAAAGTTTGACCATATATGCTGCTGGAAACTTTACGATCTACTGTTTCAATGCTTAATGCGCAAAAATCATAAAGTGCAGGGGACGTACTCAGTTTGAACTTTAAATTTGTTCCTTAATGTTTACACAATATGAGTTACAAACAGAAGACAGGAAATGCTAAAGCATTGGAACGTAAAAAACGCAAACGTCATCAAAACACTGAACTTATTTGGAGGAACAAATATCACTTAAGAACCCACAGCTTTGTCGTAGCCTACAGGCCCCGTAATTAGTTATCCGCCACTGTATAAACGCAGTGCAATAACAGAAAACATACAAACTATAATGTCTTTATAACCTCAGTATTAGATACGAAATTCTCTTTCTAAAATGTACTTCAGTTTTTGGGTACTTTGAAAAATCTTATTAACCAGGCTTAACCGTTAAATAGTTTTGTCAGCTACTGCTTCGATACAACACGTAGCATTTCTCTATATTTTAGAGCGCTGTAAATATCTTACCTTTTAAAATGTTTACTTTTCGGCTTAAGAATGAGAATTTTTTTGAATTTTATAGATATGATTTGTGTACGCTAGTTCTTCAAAAGCAAAAATTGATTTTAAAAAAGTTCAATATTAGGAGGGTGGTCTGGTTTTAAGGGAAGATTTGAGAAAGGCTCTAGGTGATCAAAATATACTCTCAGATAAATGGAAAAATGCAGCAAATATGATCAGGAAGACAGGAAAAAGAATAGTCGTTGTAGTAAGAAGATTTTGAGAATGAATAGCAACGGATTAATAACATTAGTGAAAAAATGTACAGAATAACAAGAGGACTTAGAAGGATAAATAAGAGAACAGGAAGATATGTCATTCGGTTTAAAGATCAGGGATGTAAGAGATTAAAAGCACTATGTGAATATGAATATTTAGATCGTCTTCAACCGCCGCAAACAATGATTTCCTCACATCTTTGGCAGCCTTCTTCACTTATATGGTTTATAAACATTGTATACAAGAAGTATGATTTTGCACTGCCGAGAGATTTAGTGAGTGGGGTGTTGGTCGGCAGAAGGGGTCTCGTTGGTAATTATGAAATTGCCATGAAATGTCGTCAACAATAAACGTTAGTTTGACGGCTTGAATTTTCGTAAACTCTTTTATGATAGATTATTACACAACACAAGAAAATTCACTGTCTAAACTACCATGTACAAAATGACAAAGTACAAATAGATATTTATCATGTGACAGCTTGGTCACAGTATAGGAATACACATAGGGCCACTTCGCTGTGCAACTGACTGCTGTTATTTAATTAGTTTACCTGCTGCCCTTTGCCATATCGTTAATCCTATTGGTCACAGAATGCTTTTTACTGGCTGCCAATAGGGTAATCACATGCGTAATAAGATATGCGTGGCACGAAAAATTCATTGTAGTGGCCGTACTGTATGTTCTCTATACTATCGCTTGGTTGCATTGGTTTTACTTTTCAGAAACAAGCACGGTAAATCCATCACTTCTTATTGTGTTAGAATTTTGTGGTCGCCCGCTATCAGTCTATTAATATGTGTAATATTTGATAGACAAGTCCTGCACTTTTAGATGTGTTGAACAAAAATAGAAATTTAAGCTAATACAGATAACAGACGTTTGATATTCAATAACTCGCATTTTTCTTTTTCTATTAGTTTAGATGTTGAAACAACATACCTTTAATGCCTTTAAACGAATGTCCTTTTATGAGTTTAATTACAGAACCAAAAAAGACACTTTAAAAATATCTGCTTCGAATGATACAAGTTGAAACTGAAACTGACTAAAATATGATGAGTCACGAAATACAAATTTTCAAGCAATCTACTTGCATACTAGATCTTGAATAACACAATGCTTCCAAGAAATAATGATTATATCATTATGATTATATCATTATGACTATAGATTATATTTCAACTTTACATCCACGTGGAATATTCGACATTTAAGTAATGTTCTCTTGAACTATCAAGAGAGAAATATTGAGAGGAAAATGTTGTATTTTCTTAAAATTCAATTTTGACATTATATTTTTTAATGACAAAGTAACAATGCCATCGTTTTCATGACAAATGCATGCATGAATTTATATTTCACATTTTTACAGTTGAGTTGCAACGTTTGACGTATCTGCACGAAAATAAAATTGTGAAATGGTTTAAAATTGTGAAATGGTTTAATATTGCATGCTGTAAGGATACAAATACAGGGCTAAATAATTGACACATGATTCCAAGATTTGAGGCATGAAGAATACTTTTTGTTTGTATTGGCACATTTTCTGTTTTTTATTGAATCATGTTTATTTTGTGGTTTCAGACGTGCTATATATGAACAACACTCTTTCATCAAATTCTTCCACAAACATTTTGTTATGAAAAAAACACATAGAAACAACATGGGTTTCACGAGGGAATTTCATATGACCCCTTTTGTGATTTGCACGTTGATATATGCTTTGCATGCGGTTCCAAACAGCTTTTATTTACTGTAATAATTAATTTAAAGTAAGGCCCGTTTCAAATGTCGCATTTTACATGCGCCGAAAGCATTAACGACAAAAGAAAATGAAATAAAATTCCTCATTATCTTTTGTTTTAATTGCATTCGGCTCATGTAAAATGCAAAGTTAGAAACAAGCCTAAGCCATCTAGTCAATTGCTTTTTTAGACCAGTAGGAGCAATAACATGGTTAGCCGCATCCAGTAATCCAATTAAATATACAGTGCATTTTGCACCAAGTTGCACAATGGAGTAAGACTACTGTTTGTTTCTATACTGTGACTGTAACTTACTCCTTAATAACTCGAGCACTAATCAAACAAAGAAAAGCCCTTAGGCCCGTTTCAAACGTCAAACTTTACATGAGCCAAATGCAATTTAAAAGAAGATAATGAGGAAGTTCATTTCATTTTCTTTTGTCTTTAATGCATTCGGCGCATGTAAAATGCTATGTTTGAAACGGGCATAAGAGCACTCTCCAATGCAAAACCGTCTTATTTTCAATCCTCAAAACAGGGATAAATTTAAAACATAATTCTTTTGTCGGCAGAGGACGGGATTAGTCAACTATTAAAACAGCCTGCATAACGTGTAACTGAAAGAATGAACGGCATTTCTCTCCTTTGCAGATGACGTACACTCTTTCTTGATATTATAAATATCGGTTGGTTTTAAAAATTCATTTAGCAGACGTTGACTCCCGAGGAGTAGTCTGCCGAAATGCATCGTGTCGTTTAGTTTTTTAATAACTATTTGGTTAGTGTTGTTTACCTAAAACCGTTCTTTTAAGAACTATTAACTTTTTGCTTTACTATTTCGTTCATTCTAAAATATTTGAAATTCAATTCTTGCATAAAAGTCATTTTCTTAGTCCAGCAGCAGGCATGATTACTTCACAGATCGTTTCACTTGGGCAAAAAATTAGATGATTTGTTATCGGCAATTCATGGTATCTTGACATGGTCGAACAATTTAGTCTAATAAAGTTTGTCTAAGAGATCAAATTATGATTTCACAAACAACAAAACAACGCAAACTTGATTAGTTTTGGATTCGTATCGTTTTAAGAACGTGCCCTCATTAAACACAGCTGTGCATGATGCGATGCGGTGTTGAATATTTACTATGAAAACACTGAAAATACCGTTTATCATCACATTATAACAGGGAAATTGATAAAAAGAGGGCACTCCGAGTTGGCCAGAAAAATCATTGAGAATGAAAGGTTTTGTGGTTTCCGTTGTGGCAATATGTGTATTTGGTATTGTTGGAAATACCCTTGTGATCGCTTCAATAATAAAACAGAAGATTCTGCTAAAGAAAAATTTTTACTTTCTTTTCTTGCATCTTGCGATATGTGACGCATTCACGCTGCTATCTATCTTCTTTGTGCAGCTCAAAATCGTCACATTTTTGTCAAACTGCATAAATATTTTGGGTATATGTAGTTTAATTTTTCAAACAAGCGGAGTTACTATGATGTTGATCATTTCAGTTCTACGTTTTCGTGCAATAGTTCATCCATTGAAACCTTCCTTCAGTCGACGAAAGATAAAAATCATTTGTGGTTTAGCGTACATCATTGGTTTGGTTGCAGCAGTTTTACTTACTAATCTAGAGTGCATTAAATTTCCTCGACGTCGTTATTACATTTACGAATGGCTGCCTTTTTTTGCCTGTTTCTACATTTTCCCAATAATATTCATGACTGTAACTTACTCCATAATCGCTCGAGCGTTGATCAAACAAAGCAAAGCCCTAAGAGCATTCTCCAATGCAACACCGTCTCATTTTCAATGCTCCTCCAACTCAAGTTCTCAAAGATATACTCGGGGTTTAAAAACGTTTTTCATTTGTGCAATAACGGTTCTCTGTTTTTCGGTTGGTCATATTTATTATATGACAGCTAATGGATTGCATTTGTTTTATTCTGTTGAAACTAACAGAGTAAACTTATCAGTTGCTTATTGTGTAAGAATTTTGGGATCACACGCTGTCAATCCATTAATCTATGGAATATTTGACAGAAAAGTTTTGTACTTTTGGAAGTGGTGCACAAGAAGATAATTATTAGCTAATTCAGATAACAGGACGTTTGACAGTTGCTTACATGTTTCCTGTTTTAATGTTTAACTATTTACGTTTAATTAATGTTTCAAAAACAAGGCCTTTATTGAGTTCAGTATCAGAACCAAGAAGACCTCTAACTTGCTTACTGAAAAAATATTTTCCTCGAATGATACATGTTAAAACCTAAAACTAACTAGAATAAAGTCAAAGTTAGCTGCACATTACAGTTCTCAAGTAATCTTTACATAGATCCCGAATAAGACAATTTTTCCCAGATAATGAAAATTGTCTTTAGCTATATTGTATTTCATCCTGTCATTCACGTGGAATATTTGACAATTAAGAGAGTGCTGTTTTGAAATAGCATAAGAAAACTATAGAGAAATAAATAGAAATGTATTTGGATTGTCTTTATTAATTACTTTGAATAGTTCATGTAAAATTACAAACAACTGAAATTAGCTGATATTTGTTTTTAATCGACTGCGTTAGCCAGCTACAATGCCATCTTTTCTTTAACAAATGTATTCATTCCTAATTAGTTCACATTTTAGTTGCTCAAATGCAGTTTTAATGTTTGGTTTATCTGCGAATAAAATTATGAAACGCATATTGTTTGAAGAAAAAATATTGCTGCATGGTGAAAATGAAGTATTGGGAAAAAATTTTGATAGGAAATTCCATAATGTGTTACATGAAGCAAATATGAGGAGGGAGACAGGTAGAAAGGTACTTAGTGTGCTGTTTGGATGAAAGGTAGATAAGGAGACTTTGTGGATTAATAATATACTGTGGAAATTAAAAGATTGCCAAAGAAGATGTGTGGTTACTAGAAGGCTAAAAAGAGGAAATATGAGATACGGAAGATACGCCATAAGGGATGGAGCAATTAGGGATGGAAAACCTTTTCAATATTTTGAGGTGGGGATATCACTTCACAAGAAAATATGAATATTCAGATGCTCTATAAGCTGCTGGGAAAAACCATTCTCTTATCGCTTTAGACTTCGGTAGCCCTCTTCACTTCTATGGGATATGAATTTTGCATTTCACTTACTTGACGCACATTTTGGTCATTTATTCGTGACTATATTTAAGTATTCTAACAAATGTTGGTGTTTTCGCGTTAGAGACGACCTCACGCTGTAAGGACGTCTTTTTATTCTCATGTAAAGAGAGAAAAGACGACATTTAGGCATCTTAAGGATTGGCTTATTGGATAAATTTGCTGAAAAAATTCACTTTTACATTGGTAGTGAGCGAAGATGTTGGTCTGTAGAAGATGTCTCGTTAGTAATTATCAAACTACAATAAACATAACGTGAACAATTGGCGTTAGTTTGATGACTTCGATTTTCATGAACTCTTTTATGATTGATTTTTACGCGAAACAAGAAAATTTAATATCTAAGCTGTCAAACACAATAGCGAAACGTAAGAGTTTGTCCGGTGTCCCCAAATACTACCTAACCCACCCCCCTTCATTAAAAAAGGAGATATTTAATCACATCTTAATTCACTGACATATAGTTTAGACATTAAAACAAAATTGTCATCAATATATTGAAATCTCAGGAGCAGCTTTTGTTCGTCAAGCCTATTTGGATAAACTATAAAACACAAATTTGTCATAATATTGTCATCTTAAATGCTACAGTTCACTCAATTTTCATTACTATAGCTACCAATTTGTTGTAAGGAAAAGACCAGCAGCTGTATTTCATACCCACAGCATATAATTGATGCTAATTTTAAATATCATAATATGGAAAATAAGCATCATTCTTTAAGTATTCTTTCTCATCTTACATCGTGCGATATGTGACGAATTTGTATTGATAAACTTATCTTTTTTTTATATCTTGCTTATCAATTTAAAAATTAACTCATTTCGGTTGGCTTGCTCAATAAACGACATAGATACTTTTTTTCAAATAAGTGGAGTATCTATGATGTTGATCATTTCAGTTCTACGTTATCGTGCCATAGTTCATCCATTGATACCTTCCTTCAGTCGATGAAATGTGAACATCGTTTGGGGCTTAGCGTATATCATTAGTTTGGTTACGACAGTTGGAATGATATTTCCCAAGTGCGTTGTGGATCCTGAACGTCGTTATTACATTTACGACGTGATTGCATTTTATTCATGTGTCTACATTTTCCCAATAATCTTCATGATTGTGACTTACTCCATAATCGCTCGAGCATTGATGAAACAAAGAAAAGCACTACGAAAACCCTCCAATCCTTCACATTCTCAAGTACAATCCTACACCAGCTCAAGTCTTAGAAGATATATTCGAAGTTTGAAAACATTTTTTGTTTGTGCTTTAACGGTTATTTGTTTTTCAGTTGGTCGTATTTATTATATAACAGCTCAGTTGCAGTGGTACTATAAAGCAGCAACTAACTTGATACATGTATATGTTGGTATTTGTCTTAAGATTCTGGGGTCGCACGCTGTCAATCCATTAATCTATGGAATATTTGACAAACAAGTGCTTTCTTTTTGGAAAAGCTGTACAAGAAGATTTAATCAAATGCAGATAAAAAAACGTTTTTAATCACTTGTATGTTTCCAGTTCTAATATAGTAGTGGAGATGTTTAAAAATTTTAATGTCTTGAAACAAGAATTATACCTTTTACAAATTTAATAATAGAATTAAGAAGAAGGAAGACCTCTGAAGCGCTCTTTAAAAATTTACTTGCTTTGAATAACACAACACGGAAACTAACCAAATAACTTAAAGTTAGCTGCAAAATAACTTAAGCAATATATACGTGCACACTAGAACCCAAATAAGTAACGACACTCGTCGTCATTTTTCTAGTAAATAATAAAAGTTTTCTTCAATATAATACTATTTTTCAATCTTTTCTTCTGTGGAATGTTGGAAAAGTGTTGGTGCATGTCCTTTTAAACATTCAAGAGAGAAATGTAAAGATAGAAAGATATAGGTAAGTTATTAATGAATAGAACCTAAAATGGCTTCGCATTCAGAAAAAAGCAAATTAAAATAAATTTGTGTCCTTTTCCACTTTTGGAAACAATGCTTGTCTACTATAAAATGACCACTATTTGAAATATCTTGTATAAAATATAAAAGAGGTTAACAATAATGTCGCAAAAAAGATAAAAATAAAGGTTGACGTAAAGGTAGAAAAAGGTAGATATAAGTGTGATAGAGACAGGTTAGAATACTGATAACTAGAAAGTGGTGTTAAAATGTTTAATTTGTTTGTTAAGATCGGGGTTTTTTGGCGTATGTGTAAGGCTTCATCAAGTTTTGGAGAAAATTGAGTGTTGGCCGTTTCTAGGAAAGTGAAACATGAGCGAGTGTATTTGGAGTGTTTAAAACAATAAGTTAGAACTAATGAAAAAGAGCAGATGCGTAAACTTCTACTGCTATATTTTAACACACTTTACTTGAACAACTTAAAAAATAATGAACCGTTTTTCATGGCATTTGGAAAGTGAAATATTGAAAATATGAAAAAGCTACAAATTCTCGTAAAAACGTCATTTTTCGTTTCCGTCAGTTTATGCTTGTTTCCATGACCTTAAATATTGACAAGCATTTGATAATTGAGGTTATTGATATTTTATAGAATTTAATGTAATTATTTTGTGTAAAATAGTCAAAACTTACTGTTCAATATGGCTTTTCATCAAATAAAATATGATAAATTTGGATACTTTTGAATGCGTATTGTCTTAGGGAACGCGCCTGTTCACATTTGCAGCTGTGATGAGACGTCACGTGCCTGACGGGCATAAGCCATGACGTGAGATGACGATTGATTGAAGACGACAATAATTTTCCGGCTTGATTTTTGACACATGGATGTGGCGTAGCAACATATGTAGTAGGTCCTAGTGGTTGCGAAGAAGGCAGCCGTTGAGCCATGGGAAACGATCCCCCTGCATTGGACTCTTGTGACTGCTTGCCTGTCAAATTTCAAAATCAGGCCCGACAATGTGTGTAAACTGTTCGTTCGTATGGCTTGACAATAACACATATTTTTAAGATTAATTTTTCCAAATTGACTTTCATGTACATTTGAGTTCTTTAAGAATAATAAAAAAATTTACTTCAAATGTGTCTCCTGGAAGCTTTAAGCAGTTTTGCCGAATACCAATATAGGCGATAACAGTGTGCACTTGTTTAAATTGAAGCATTTGTAGGTAAGTACAGCTATGGCCCGCCTATTTGTACTAAAACTGCACTTAATCAACTTCATTTCATCGTTGGTCGGCCCCAATTACCGTGTAATTGTCTACAGTTTTCGTTCCAGCCAGTTATATTCTAAATATTCTGTTTACTGGCCGAACATTAAAATTTCTGAACGAGATAATGCAAAATCTATTCAAGCAGTAGAAAAGTTAATTTTATTCAATTTATCATTAAGTTACCCTAAAATATAATTGTACTTCAGTAGCACCCGAATTGAACGACGAGCAATATAGTTAATGATGAGAAATTGAGTTTTGCAAGGAAATGCATGATGTTATTGTACGTCCTAAGTGCTGCCATTTTAAATATTTAATGTAGTCAGATTTTGTTTCTGTATGTTTTAAATAGAATGTTAATTATGGAAAATACATTCCTCACTCGCAGAGAGCTTTTGAACAAGCAAACGAAAAACCTACAGAAGTTTTTCAACAAACCGTCAATTAATGCACGTGAATACTTTCAGATATGACTTTCTGAAGAGACGACATTCCTTAACATCTCAAAAATAGCATCTCCCTTTAAAGGCAACCACTATTTCAACACAGAATTCCAAAATTAACCACCCCCGCCCTCTTGAGACGGACTCTATGCATATTTATTTTAAAAGTACTACGAAGAAAGAACAAACTCGAACTAATATCAAACTGGACATAACATTGACCACAACGTAACGCTTATATACTTTACTTTGCTCTATCCTTAAAATAACAATGAGAGATGCTGCGATTTTTGTTGTCGTGATATGTCTATTTGGCATCGTTGGAAATACTCTTGTGATCACTTCAATTTTAAAACGGAAGTTTCTGTTCATGAAGAACTACTACGTTGTTGTTTTCCATCTTGCGATATGTGACATGCTGGCATTGCTATGTATATTTCTCATTCAGTTTGACAGTGTCCCAATTTTGCTAAATTGCTCATATGCAAGTGGCATAGATACTTTGTTTCAAATAAGTGGAGTTTCTATGATGTTGATCATTTCAGTTCTACGTTATCGTGTGACAGTTCATCCATTGAAACTTTCCTTCAGTCGAGGAAAGATAAAAATCGCTTGTGGTTTAGCGTACATCATTGGTTTGGTTACGACAGTTGGAATGACAATTCAAGAGTGCATCGTGGATCCTGAAGGTCTATATTACATTTACGAATGGTGTACATTTTTCGTTTGCTTTTACATTATCCCAATAATATTTATGACTGTCACTTACTCCATAATCGCTCAAGCATTGATCAAGCAAAGAAAAGCACTAAGAACATTCTCAAACCCAACACGACCTAATCTACAATCTTCAGGAAGCTCTAGTCCTCAAAGATATACTAGGAATAATAAAACATTTCTAGTTTGTGTTTGCACAGTCCTTTGTTTTGCAGTGGGTCATGTTTGTTTTTTGGTTGTAAATGCGCGTAGCATAGATATTCCTCCTTCATCAAATTCTTCCACTAATCTATACATTGCTTTTGCTGTCCGTATTTTTGGCTCACACGCGTTAAATCCTCTAATCTATGGAATATTGGATAGGGAAATGCTGTATTTATGGAAATGCTGCTCTAAAATAAGACCAGTCTAAGTGAATTGAGACTATAACGCGGAAAACTAGTCATCCAACGGAATGCTTCATTTTGTAGGTCAAAAATTGTCATATAGTTACTAGCTAAATAGTTTAGTTCAAAATTGTTTTGTAACATTTTTTCGTCATTTTTTACAATCTCCAAACAAACTTCACTATTTTTGTGTCTATAGCAGCTCAATTATATCCGCCAAACATTTTCTCATTGCAGTTTATCGACCATCTATATTGGAATAGTTTAGCTTAATATAATCTAAATTAAGAGTCAAAGATCGCTTTTCTTCGTTTGTGATGCAGCGATAAGCCAGCATTAACTTTTATTCGTTGTAAAATTTTCTTTGTGATTAAACTTACGGAAATAGAATAAGTTTCGTTGATGTTTGGTTACGTTGTAACGACGTACAATATGTGGGTACATAAAGCATTACAAAAGCATCTACTTAGATCATAGGAAATGAATGTGCAATTAAAGCTCATGCACTTAACATAAATTTTATAGAACCTCATTAACTCTCAAGGGCAACAAAAAACTGTTCGAGTCAGTGGGGGTTCAAGTTCTCGAGGATATTGTTAAATTTCGTGTATTAGGTGAACATGCAAAAGCATTTGCAGTTTCGCTGTTCATGTGCAATTGTGAGCTACACAAAACATTATACAGATATTCCAAGTGTGATTAAATCCTTTAAAAACCAGTACTGTATATGATTCATTAATACGAACTGCATAAGCTAGATCAATATCATCAAACTTGTCAGGCAAATTTTTCATATAGATTGGATATATCAATGATAATGGGGGTAGGAGAGAGAGTCCTCCATCTTTATCGCACTTCTCAATATTTTTCAAGGTGTGGGATTTCTCGCACTGTATCGCACTGAAAGGAAAGCAGAGTCTGTTGCACTTTATGGCACTGTCAATGTTTCTTTTCACGGAGAGGGGGACTTTTTTGGTAATTAATTGATATTTTGATATGCCAACGTAGGGGAAAGATAAAAATGCTGAACAACCAATTGTTGTTGTGAAAGACGGCTCATTTACAGTATATTAGAATGTGCAACGGAAAACGATATTCTAATGCCATGTTTTTTGTTCAATATTGTATTTGTAAAAAATGACAAAAGTGTTTCCATGGTGACTGCGCCTTATGCTATTCCACTCTGTTTAATTCCCAGTTGATTCTATATCCAAAAAAGAAAAGGTCTTTGTCACCGAGGTTGACAACATGTATTTTGCGCTGTGACAAAAAGCAAACCTTTGGGAGAAGAGCGATTGAATTACCTCAACCATAATCATGCATATTTAATACACAACCGATATGTTTGTCGGACAGGCATTCGTAAAATGTACTGAGAGAAATTAATCCGTCAAACTAAAAAATCGGATGGAAATAGAACTTGCTCAATTTTTATCCGACATGATCAAAGGTGGCCGACTAGTCAAATTACATAAATTTGAAAAAGACTTGGAAACAAGAACAAAAATACGAAAAATATATCGATAAATGTACTGGACGGCGAAAATGCCTGCTCACACGACTTTAAATATTTAAACGAATATAAATATAAAAAAATTATCGGTCGTCTGAACAAGCAACCAAAAGTCGAATTAGAAACCATCAGACCTTTGATCATTGATCATTCATACAGATCAGCTTTAACTTCATGTAATTGAAATATTTTTATTTCTAGTGGTCGAATTGACTTTATCGTTAAATTAAGAATACTTTGAATTGGTCAAGGTTGCTAAAATCCCTGACCAAATCTAAGTGATTCAAGCAACTTGAAAGGGAATAATCACATTGGTCAATTTATATCGTAGACGCAGAAGCCTGCTTAATTTCTCTGCGCAAACCGAAAGTGAATTTTAACACTAAAGAACTAGTTCTTTTCTTCACAAAACGCGTAAGACCATGGATTCCTTCCATACGCAAGTCCTATATCTTTTTCAAAATAGCACGACTAAATATCTCAATCACGATTTCAATTGGAATAAAAGAGAATATAAAAGTATTACAAATAACTTCACCTTTGGTTTCATATAATAAGGCTTTATAATCGATTGGTTTCAGCAACTCAATTATCGAAGACATCTTTATTCACAAGCTTTCTATATTTCTTCAACAATCCGACATACATTTAGTATGAATCTTTAAAGCCCACTGGTACAGATTGCGATCGACAAAGTTCCTAGTGTGCGCTGAAGTTTTGAACAACATTTGTCATTCGTGACAGATGAGTCTAATATCAAACGCGTTTGATATTTGACTCATCTGTCACGAATGACGAATGTTGTTCAAAACTTCAGCGCACACTAGGAAATTTTGTCGATCGCACTTGTCACGAATAACAAGTACGCGCGGCAAGTTCACCAGTGTGCGGCGGGCTTAATCTAGCAATAGATTTAAAATATTATGATATATGCGCATGTAGCTGACAATACATAATGCACCCGTGGGATCAGCGCAATAAATATTTCTAAAGGTTTTCTACACCTTGTAAATTTTTAATATGTATGATTAATTATTTTAAGCCAATGTTGACTCTGAACTGTTTAAATAGCCATGCTGAATTGTTTGAGAGGATTTGCAATTAGCTTTACTGTCCTTTGTGGATTGAGAACAATGTTGAAACGTCACTAGAACGATACGGAATACACTATTGAAATTCAGAACAGATGAGAAGAAATATAATGAGCGGCAATTTTTATCTACAGCACGCATTCTTTATTTTATTTCGTCATAGCTTTGATATAAAATCATTGCTCTAAGGTGAGGTTCATTCACTGTCGACTGCTATTACTCGCAAAATGTCTGATAAATCAGAAACTTCCAAGATTTCTTTGCCAGCTAACGGGAAGAAAGAAAGCAAAGAAGCGAACATCGTGGATAGCGGTGCCGAGAGCCTTAGCACTAAATTAAGCAGCCTACCCATTGTAACGTCCTCTCTTCAAAGCGTCTCTGAGACCTGTCACTACATTAAAAAATCTAATTCCCTCGTCAAATATGGTTTTGAAATGGCCGAGAAAGCACTCTGTACTGGTAAAGCTGTTCTTGAATCGAAACCGCTCGCACCGATAACAAATTTGGCTATAGACCAAGGTAAGATAGTACTCGATTTAGATGTATTTTAGTTCGTCTCTTCCATGAAAAAACAAGATTTTCTGTTTTTGATAATCTTCTAAATCTTTAAAATATCTAAAACACAGCAGAAACCATTAACCTCAGTCCGTTTCTAAACACGAAACTTCTTTCACAATGATTTGAAGGCCTATTTACAGTAGCCATTTTGCTCTAGTTTGCAACTTGGACAAAGAAGCTGGAAGTGTTGTCGACAAGCTTTGGAACTCTGATGAGAAAGTCGAAAAACCGCGCATCTGTGAAACCAAAGACGAACAGCAAGATGCTCCAACTCCAGCAAACATAGACGTTGTAGTGCAAGAGGAATCATCGTTTTACTTCATGTGCAAGACCATTGTGCGAATGACTGCCTTTGTAGTATGGATGAAGTTCAAAGTAAAGTTTTTAATCAACTTTTGAATGCAACTAGATTTTCTAAAATGATTTTAAAAGGATTTTCACTTGATATGTTCACGTAGGTCCTGTCTTTCTTCGTTTACTTGCCATGGACTATACCGAGTTACATGTTCTGGACTATCATTGGTTTTGTATGTATATTTTCATCAGTTCTGTTTTCTTCATATCGGTCTCTTATTTGTCAAGCTTTTGTTTTTTTTCCAGCTGGGATTTGGCAGTTGTGAGGAACGCGGTCAAAAGCGAAAGGACAGAGGCTCAATGTCAGGCGAATCAACTTGCATGGAGCCTTCTAACGTGAAACGTAAATATGGCGATCGTCAAAGTACGTCATCTGAAGAGGGAACTTTGATACAGATCTACAGTACTAACTACGTCGGTCGTAAAGATCCTGACTATGTTCCGGAGGAGCACGAGACGGAGGAAAGTAGCGAAGATTCCGGAAATGAGGAAGAGAAGGAAGAGCAAAGGAAGGAAGCTCTCCACCTGACTGATCAAATGGTTAAAGTGCGAGGAAATTTCTTTGTTTGTATCTGCTTTTCTTTAAAAGTTGCCTTTTCCATGAAAAGCTATTTGGGGGAGACGATGGGTGTGATAACTAAGGATGAGTTTTAAAGTGTTGTAGTTCTATTATTGCTTTAATGACTGTTTTCTTCGCAGGAAGGTATACCTCTATGTAAAGAAATAAAAGCGAATATGAAAGAGATTGAAAAGAAAATGAATAAGGTAAAATAGCAGGCCAACCGGCTTTTGAAATTCCTTCTGTATTTAAAATTTTTACCTATTGCTTCAGAAAGCGAATGATGCTCCTTCCTTGTCGGGGACTGGTATCGAAAATTTGGCAACGAAACCTCCCACCGGCAAGCCAACCGTAGCTAAGGAATCGATAGAGAAAGTCAGCAATCGCAATGCTAGTCCCATGGAGGAAATTTCTTTAAAAGAACACAGCAGTGAGGCTAAAGAAGAAAGCCTGGGAACAGAAAAAGCGGAAGCAGAAGTAGAAAAGGGTGGGAAAGAGATCGACCAAACTCGCAAATCGAGGCGCAGCTCCAAATCCCCGCTTCTCGAGAGGCTTTTGTCGCCGGGACGTAGAAGTCGCCGAAGTAAAAAGGACAAAGCAAAACCTGAATCTGAAACTACCGAAATATCGGACGAAGTATCAAAGAAATCAGACGAAAGTACAAAATCAAAAGCTCTTTCAGCAAGTCCTACGGCATCGTCTGACAATGCAAAAACGCCAAAGAAACACGACGATACTTCAAAGTCTGATGTAAAAGAAGAGAATGCTTCACTAATGAAGGGAGGACCAGAGAAATCGGAAATCCCCGTAAGTCCTTCAGAGCTTGAGACAAAGGCATCCACTGCTCAGGTTGTCAATGAATCTCTAAGAGCTGCCTCTGGTCCTTTTGATGTCTTCAAATTTGGAAAAAAATCGAAGTGATTTATTAGTTCTAACAGATTAAATTAAAAATATTGACAGAAAATATATTTCAAATCCCTATCAATAGTGCAATATGTATGTAAGCAGTTCAAAATATGAAGATAAAACCAAATTATGTAGTAAAATGTTAAAAATTTAGAATCATATTAAAATACGATTCATTAAATGGTATCGTTAGATATGAAAATTGATATTTCCTGCTGTTTTACACTAGAAATTGTTGTTTAGAAATCGGTTGCCCACATTAAGTGGCGTCGCCAGGGAGGGAAATGAAGCGGTCGCGTCCCCCCAGTTATTCCAGAGACCAATTTTGGGAAGAAGTGAAATAAATAAACAACTTATTTTCTGTTTACTGGCAAAGTATATATATAGTAAACCGCAATCTTGAGTGTTGTTGTCGATAAGATTGACTTGAATACACTTGTTCACACATTCTAGAAACGTGTCGCTTTATCATAATCCTACCTGTAAGAAATGACGTTTCAGAGAATATAATATCGTTTTGGAAAACATTTTTCAAGGGAGCATGTCTCTGAGGCCCCATTAAAGTCTAAAAAATTAGACAGTTGTATTGTCCCCCCCTCCCCCCCGCAGTCTGAACATCCTGGAGACGCTACCACAGAATAATGATTATACAGAATGGTCACTCAGCGTACAACGTGTTCTCATGTTGGCCATTATTCTAGCCAGATGATTAGGATTTCTAACTTGTTTCCAACCATTAAAATTACATCACGTCAATACTTAACAATGAATTCAAGAATATTTTGAGTTAAGAAATGACTTTGGATTATTTTAAAGGTATGGAAAAAGTCAAAACCCCTAATCATCTGGCTGGAATAATGGCGGCCACCATGCGCGGAACGACATGCGCGAGAACAAAAACATCAAAGGTTCCGACATGAGTGACTCTTATTCTGTGACGCTACTTTCAACAGTGCACGCAGACATTAACATAGTAAGTTCCTAAGTCGTTGTTTGGTTGTAAAATAAAAGCATGCTTAGTAAAACGGCTGAATTTTTACTTTTACAATTATGTGTTACGAGGTGAAACGAAAACTTAATCAAAATATATTATCGATAGCCTAGATACTTGAATGCACGCCATTATTTTATAGTTACTAGCAAGCAGACATTAAAATGATTCTCCAAAGAGAGGGACTTGCATAGAAGGCGCATTGAAAGTTTGAAGTTCGTCATTTAAATACATTTTGAGATAATAGTATTGCAATTACGCCTCCCTGTTTTCTCATACATCGTTCAAAGTTTCGAGAGAAAATCCGGAAAATTCTGAATGTAAAATATAAAAATATTTTATTTCATTTGAGTATCTTATTAATTTAAATTGAAATGAGTTTCCATGTTTCGACTCATTTGACGTTGTATAATATTATAATAAAAAATTTCAAAAGCGTTTTAAAATAAAACAAACTACAGACAATCAATAAAAGTTTTGAAGGCACACAATTTTGAGTTTCCAGCCTTGCTTCTTTTTAGTTCATTTCCATTTCTTTCCATAACCATTTGTTTTATCTTTGTTTCAAATTTCAACGCTAGGTTAGGATACGACTTCGGTTGCTTTTTTTATGTTTGCACGAAGTCAGATTTTAAGAGAAAATTAGCATCATTTCTTGGAAAATTTTGAACGCGTTGCTCTAAAAATGCTCAATAACTTTTAAATGATAATTTTTATGAATTTTACTTATGTAGCGTAGCTAACATTGCTATCTTTCATTAGTGTTTTATTAAAAATTTTCTCGCCGACTGAAATTACTATCATCCTAACTTATTGAATTGAAGAGTCTATAGCCGTCAACACTTTACAAAGTTTACACATTTGACTTCATTTTTTCCAAGGTGAAACTTTTTGGCTTCACCGTACTTTATTCAAAAATTTTTCAGGTGTCGACCGTCAAAAAATTGTACTTTATAGTCAAATTGGTTAGTTTTGTATAATTTGTGCCCAGTGCTCTTAATTGTAACGCGCAAGACATTAAAGGCACCAATTTAATTAAAAGTTCAACGTGCATCCAACTATCCAACGTCCAGCATTTTCATCCTTTTTAAATATCTGAAAAGGTTTTGTTCAAAAGAGCATTTTTTTACCCACAAAAATCAACCCAAAGAGTAAGAAATAACCTGTTTATATCTTATTTTGCTTTTCTGTAACTTTTCACCTAGAACTATGCATATTTTTGCGTTGAAACAAGTAAGGTGTCGTTTGTGCAAGTTTGTTGTTGAAATATATTGATTTACAAATGTATTGATTTACAAATTTACATGTTAAAAGTAAAAATATTCAACAAAATTTCATTTCATAACACTCCAAACACTAGCAATAAGCAACATTCTAAAGGAAAGACCGAAAGATCGAAAGAAATTGAAACATACAAACTTATGTCTTATTGTTTTTAACCGACAAATTTCTCTTGCTTAGCAAACATATCGACGAAGATTAGACGCCGATTTGCACAAAAATGATTTACAATTAAAACTATAAGTAGCTATACATCCAACAAGCCTTTTTTCATCACATTTATCAACAATTAAAGTATTTTTTTTTAATTATTTATAAAATTTTACAAACCATTTCATATTCGAGTCTTGAAGCATCTAGTTGTGTTTTGGCTGCATGAAAAGCGATTGACGTGTATTAAAATCATTTGGATGCCTGATTTCATTGGCTGATTTTGCTGAGCATTGTTAATTATTGATTTTTTCTAGCTTTCATTGGCTAAAAATCGAAATATGGAATATCTGGGTTAAGTTATCCGAGTTAGATGGTTTTTTACTTTTTTCCCCATTTTTCTTTGAAATGAAGATATTTAAAAATGGAAAAAACAGACTTCCGTTTTCATCACAAGCAATTGAACTATTTACAGTCTAAGTGCAGTAAATTTATTAGGCTTATAAGAAATCCTTTGCATTTGCTTTGAAAGGAATGATGAATAAGTAGCTCCATATGTAGAAGTGATGTAAGAGTATATATCCCACACGAAGGATCTTCTTACTAAACATAAGTAACTATCCTGCCCACTTATTTTTATGTATTAAACTCATTGAAAATATGATAATGTATCAAAACAACAAAGCAGAATTCAACCTTGTATGCTAATTTGTGGAAAATCATTCATTTAGTTATTTCATCACAATATTCAGTGCATTCGTTCTCCCTTCCCAGGCCCTCAACAAATCCCAGGGAATTCTTGGTCGTTATTTAGCAGGATCCGAAGACCAATAATTCTGAAATTAATTCAGAATAATTCAGAATAATTCAGAAACGTAATCTGACAAAATTTTATCTCGAAGTTAGATGTTCTAGATAAAAATTACAATTACAAGCAATTGTTTTTCCGATTCCTATTCCTAGCCGAAAAGTTTAGTCATTTTTATGTATGTTTATGGTGGTGGCGGGTGATGAAGGGTGATGATGGGTCATTGACTTTCGGAAATTCTCGACATTCTCCGGATTGCCCTGTTCGCAAGTGGATTTCGCATTATTCTTTCCTCGGTCCCTCGGTGCTCGTGTTCTAGAGGGGAGGTTCAGCGACGTTTGTTGGAAGAAATGTATCAATGTTTTTCCAGTAATTAGCTTCTATAACTTACTATTGCTGCTGCCACAGTTCGCGTGCAAACATCGCTGGACTTTGGAAATGCAATTTGCTGAAAATCAATAGCTTCTTTGAGCCTCGACAACCAGATACCCAAGATGGCGGATGGCAAAAAGATGAAAACTCGTCCGAAATTGGTGATTTTACCACCGCCAGTTGCAATACCCGAGAAGTATGTCTCTATTTCACGTCTTTCTATGACCCTCCTTTGCAAGATTTATCTTCTTTTTATTATTTTGCCTCGTTCAGCACGGACATCGAAACGTCATCTGGAACGGACGACATAAGCAAGAAGCTTGCCGATTTGGAAATGGATGACTGCCAACGCGAGCGTCTCATGTCTTTCTTGGCCGAGAAGCGAAAAATCGGCGATCTTAGCACAGAAGATTTCGAGAAATTAGATGAAATAGGCGCTGGAAATGGTGGTGTCGTGACGAAAGTTCTCCACAAACCAACTGGCTTGATTATGGCAAGGAAGGTACACAATATTTGTAATAAATTTGCCGGGATATTTGAAATTATTTTCCCGCCGAGAATGCTCGAATTCAGTTATATTTTATGTAGTTAATGTAGAAAACATTTAATCCGTTTGAAGACAGCGGACTTTTGAAATGAGCACAGAATTAGTGTATTCTGTGTTTGGTCAACATTGATGATTGGTCAACATTGCGCTCACAGCAATTTGTTTTTCATATAATTTGCGCAGTTCAACACCTTAGGCTTGTGGTGTGTTCATGAAGATGTCTCTTCCTTCTTGATTATTTTAAAACGTAGATTTTCCTCAGCACAATGTGTGCGCGAAAAGCGAATGTTTTGCCATTGAAATATTTTACCGTGAACTCATTGAATGCGTGAGCGAAAATTCTCCTCACAAAGAGTTCCATGAAACTCGCAAGTAAGACTTCAACTGTGCGTAAAATTACTCAAGGCAAAATCTCTCTTGCAACATTTGCTGCATTTACTCAACAATTGTGACATTAATGTCGCTAATTGAATGATCCCAGAATTCAGATGGTCTATAAAGCCTCTTTTATTTTCCTAGCTTATACACTTGGAGATCAAGCCGGCCATACGAAATCAAATCATTCGAGAGTTGAAAGTCTTACACGATTGCAATTCACCGTACATCGTTGGTTTTTACGGAGCTTTTTACAGCGATGGGGAAATATCCATTTGCATGGAACACATGGTGAGATAATACTTTAGTGTTGTTAAATTTTGTCGTAGAAAGTTATTCGATACATTTTTGAGCGGTATTGTTTGTTTTTTATGTTAATATTCTGGTGAGTGTGTTTAGAGTTCAAATTAACTGATATGCCGTTCTTCCCATAGACAAAAATGTTTTGTGGGTTGATATGTAACTTTAGACAGAAATCCTGCAGGTTTATCTAAGTTGGAATGATATAAGTTTGTTTAGTTGCGTTATGCCAAGTCAAGAGAAAATTTAACGTAAGGTTTTATATATTTGCTTTGATTTCAACTGTGACTTGACTGCAACCCAATAAAATGCTGTGATTTTTTCTCTTTCATTTCACTGTAATTGATAAATGTCAATGGTAAATTCTTATGTACCATCTTCACTGTGACATAAGTATAAGGAGATCAAGTACATTGATTTCTTATTTCTTTTGTATCATCCTCACTATGACATAAGTATAAGAGATCAAGTACATTGATTTCTTATGTACCATCTTCACTATGACATAAGTATAAGGAGATCATGTACATTGAATTCTTATGTATCATCTTCACTATGACATTAGTATAAGGAGATCAAGTATATTGATTTCTTTTGTACTATTCTCACTATGACATAAGTATAAGGAGATAAAGTACATTGATTTATTTTATATCATCTTCATTATGACATAAGTATAAGGAGATCAAGTACATTAATTTTTTATGTACCATCCTCACCATGACAAATATATAAGGAGATCAAGTGCATTAATTTTTTTATGTACTATCCTCACTATGACATAAGTGTGAAGAGATTTTATATTGGCTATTGACTTTAACATTTAAAAACTTTAACTTTGCGGTTTCTTGACTTGTGCATGATTTACTTGTCATGTAATTCTGTGTTCATTTTACAGGATGGTGGATCATTAGATCAAGTTCTAAAAAAAGCTGGTCGAATTCCAGAAGATATACTAGGGATAATAAGTATTGCTGTGAGTTTATAGTTCCTAATAATCCATCACCTCCATCATGGAATTCATTTCAACTCTTTGTTCTTCCAGTAGGATGTGACAAATTAACCTTGTTTTAACTGTTTTTCGATAGGTTCTTAAAGGTCTTAGTTATTTAAGAGAGAACCACAAGATTATTCACAGAGGTATGAAATTTCCATGATTACGCAGGAACTCAAGAATTAAGATCCTATCATTAAAAACACCAAGGCTGGTTTTCATACGGTTGTAGTGCTTGCGATAGCCTTCCTTGTCTCTATTTTTCTCAATCATCTGGCTACAGCTCTCATTAATAGGGTTGCATATTAAAATACTATAATGACTGAAAGGGTTCAAACCATTTACTTTAATGACTGAAAGCATATACAGACTGTGCGACCATAGATGCAAATTTTATATAGCAGATTTGCTCGATTGAGCTTGAACATCCCCCCTGTTCTGAATTTGCATCTATACAAAACATAATTAGACTAAATCTGGTAAATAAATATGCATGAAAGGCCATGCTGGTCACGGATGATTATTTGAGAACTTTAACAATCTTTAAGAAAGTTGCTGCCATTAAATATCAGATTCTTGCTAAGGGACTTGTGTTTCATAATTCTGGTGAAATTATCAGACAAAATTTTTCTTGAAGTTTTTGTTACAAATTTCATATGATCAGCTTTGCTATCCAATAGCAAATATGATATTTTACCAATTGGCTTTTCAATTCATCTAGATGTTAAACCGTCTAATATTTTGATCAGCTCAAGAGGCGAAATCAAATTGTGTGATTTTGGTGTTAGTGGACAATTGATTGACTCGATGGCAAACTCATTTGTCGGCACAAGATCTTACATGGCTGTAAGTAAAATTATCATTTCACCAACAAAACTGAAAATATAGCTGATGATTGCAGTTTGATTGCATGTGTGACTTTAACTAGTGGCAAAGTAGAATGCTATGTCAACTGTTTGACACTCATTTTCAAGAAGAAGGAAGAATACAAATTTTTTTGTTGTCAGTGAAGTCTATTGTCAGTGAAATATAAATTGTTATAAGGTTCGAAGTTGGAAGTATCATCACATGTTTTAATGTAAGTGGTCCAGTTTGGTAAGGCCTGTGGGTATTGATGTTGACTGACATTTCGACATCCTTAGCAGTGGTAGTCTTCTTGGTACACTTGACATTGGAGATGACTACTGCTAAGGTTGTCGAAACGTCAGTCAACATCAACATCAACAGTCTTTCTCAGTACTCTACGAAGAAGGATCTACATCTACAAACATGTAACGATACTCCCGGGCTCAAACCATTTACTTTAGTAAAGTTCATATAACATCTTGGCACGAGGTTGGAGGGATGGTGCGCGATTTTCTCACCACTTTTTTTGAAGCGTTTTAAGATGGTTGTATTGCATTCCTTGCCGCTTTTGCTTGTACGTAAGAATTTTGATAGTTGTGACGTCACATGCAAAGTCACTACAAATAAAGCGGAAGTAAATGCGACGTCTAACATCCGCTTACATATTCTTGTTCCAAAACAAAGCCGCGTATAATGCCATAATCGGAGAAACGAAGTTTGAATTTTGACACGCTTAGACGTTTTTAATAAAAACGTAACCTAGACGAGATCTGAATTCGCGCCATCGCACCATACTTGTCAGCAGTTTAACGTTTTAAATGGATATCAGAATTGTACTGGATACTGATATCCAGTCTGAATCTGGCACACCCTTTATTGAATAGTTAACACAAATTTAATCATCTGCGAGGAAGAATTTCGGCCTTGAAAATGAAAGGTTTCCGTTCATTTTTATTTGAACTACCGAAGAGGTACACCCGAGATTATGGAAATCACGCGTGACTGTCACGAAGTCCTTGAATCGGTCAAAATTTTCTCGAATCGTTTCACGCGTGAGTGTCACTATGATGATACGTGTAATGAAACATTATTTGCTTGCGTAATATATTGCTTCAAGTTGAAAGATGCAGATCGTCCAGGTTAGTAGAGTCCTGAGAAAGACTGTTGGTGTTGATGATTCTGCAACCTTAGCTGTAGTCATCTTCAGGGTCAAGTGTGTACCGCTAAGGCTGTCGAAACGTCAGTCAACATCAACACCAACAGTCTTTCTATGGACTCGACTAACCTGGACCATCTACATCAACCAAATTGTAACGATACTCCCAGGTTCAGACCGTTTACTTTAGAATATATATAGGCACATGTTAGATTACATTGCCATGAATTTCTTTGTGTTATTTGACAACTATTATCATACGCAAAAACAACCAAACATTGTTCTCGATAAGCCCGAGTTAACGCCTGATGCGAGTCTTGTTTCAATTTTAGCCCGAGCGACTACAGGGAAACATTTATTCAATACAATCAGATATTTGGAGTTTAGGTCTGTCTCTTGTTGAGATGGCGATTGGACGGTACCCCGTACCTCCACCGAACCCTGAGGATATTGATAAAGTTTTTAATGGTGATGTAAAGGACATGGCGTCACTCAACCCTGATACGATCGTGCCCGGAGCTCAAATACCTCAGGCTGTAAATGGAGGGGAAGTACCTAGGCCAATGGCTATCTTTGAGCTGCTGGACTATATTGTTAATGAGGTTTGTGTTTAAGTATTTTTCTGTTTCATGCTGCTTGTAAAGTATGTTCCTTGCAAAGCATCTCACATCAAGTCATTAGAATGGAACTTCAACATCAGTTCACGTCAGCTGAAGAAATAATAATGGAGTATATTAAGATTCTTACACAAAATCACTTCTGATCGTGATGAAGATACTTAACTGAAGTACATAAGGACTAAGTCTCAACATCAAATCACTGCTGATGAAGACGCTTGATTGAAGTGTAAAAGGACTCAAGTGTCAACATCAGATCACTCTTTATGAAGACACTATAATTAAGAATATAAAGACTCAAATTTCAACATCAAATCACTTCTGATGAAGACACTAGACTGGAGTATATAAGAAATGAAGTTTCAACATCAGATTACTCCTGGTGGAGACACTAGACAGGATTATGTAAGGACTTAAGTTTCAACATCAGATTACTTCTGATGAAGGCACTAGACTGGAGTATGTAAGAAATGAAGTTTCAACATCAGATTACTCCTGGTGGAGACACTAGACAGGAGTATGTAAGGACTTAAGTTTCAACATCAGATTACTTCTGATGAAGGCACTAGACTGGAGTATATAAGGACTCAAATTTCAACATGAGATCCTAATGAAGATCCAATGCTGGAGTAGAAACGCACTTCTAAACCCACTTCATTTTTCTAGCCTGCTCCACGTCTACCGGAGCGACATTTCTCTGATGATTTCAGGGAATTTGTACATAAATGGTGAGTTTCTTTGTTGAAATACTAATTCTTCGAGCGATGCCTTTAGACATTATGATCAATTTATACTTTGATTTTAGTCTCGTCAAAAACCCAAACGAACGTGCTAATCTCAAGTTCTTAATGGTTAGTAAAAGTAGTTTCGACCTTGTTTCAAGGATGTTACTTAAAGAATCAGTTTCGGTACCATGCTTTGCGCCCTTCCATGCTTATACTTTCGCACGGTGAATGAAGTACGGTTTTATGAACATTTATTAAAATATTTTTACACAGTGAAATAGGGACTTTGTGGTGATGACAAATCTAAAAATTGCTTTAGAAATAGCAAATAATTCTGGAACAGTTCTTTTGAGAACTATTGGGTTTATGTTTTGGTTTTAAACACTTCTCTTGAGAACTATTGGGTTTGTGTTTTGGTTTTAAACAGTTCTTTTGAGAACTATTGGGTTTGTGTTTTGGTTTTAAACAGTTCTTTTGAGAACTATTGGGTTTGTGTTTTGGTTTTAAACAGTTCTTTTGAGAACTGTTAGGTTATTATTTTGACCATTCACCGTGGTAATTGCTTTTTTAAAATTATATTTTTATAAGTTTCGTTTGAAGAGAAACTCCACCCTCACATATGTTTATGTTAAAAGTTGCATTCGTATACCAAGGTTACCTATCATTCCTTATTTACGAAAGCCGCCATTTCCGGATCACCTAAAATTGCCTACGAAGCGTGCAAAGACCCGAGACTCATTCTCTAAAGCACATCTTTCCAAGAACGCCTTCACGGTGTTGTGTCTTTCACAGACATCCTTAAGTCTACCTTTGCCTTGTCTCCTACGTAGTTAACAAACACATACAATCCAAACTGCCCAAAGTCGGTGGTCAAAGAAATCATATTTAATTATTAAGCAATCCACACCGGTTCTTCTCGGTGTTGAAGTGAATGCACGGTCACATGTTACATGCATGCTCTCGTTTTTGTCTGTGTCATGGCAACAGCATGGCGAAACAGTCAATTAGTTTTATAAAATAAACACAGTAAAACGCGTGCGCTGATTGCCCTACAGCTGCGTTTGCATTAGCGTGAGATATGCGATTTCAGATCTAAGCTCAAGCAGTTAAATCAGTCAATCAAAAAGCGAGGTATGCGTATCAATCATGAATAAATTTTAGTGGAAAAATCCAAACGTTGGTTTTAAATTTGTCTTTTTCGCATTATTATTTTATAAAAGAAATAAAAGATATTTTTTTGTCTGTTCTTGCTTATGTAAACCTCGGAGATGTTAGTGAGAACTGTCGAGCATGTAGAAACTCTCGACTTTCGGTCTCAGGCTTGCACTGATCTGCTTTCGAGTTCTCCCAAAAGTCTCCTCGGTGTGCATAAGCATGTGCAAACACAGTGATCATGTTTCATTTCTTAAGATTTTTTTACTGTCTATAAACCACGAGTTTTTTTTGGTTTTAGGGTCACCAATTTATCAAGAAAGCTGAGGAATCCAACATTGACTACGTTGGTTGGGTGCAGCGGACTCTAGACATTACGCCACAAACCACGACAGTATAAAGGGGACATCGAGGGATAAGTTTGTACATCGAATCATCTTTCTCGACTAGCTATCTTTAGTGAGTGGCCTTAGTGGTGCGCAAAAAATTAGAGATTTTTTTACTTTATTAGAAATTGAGATAATGCGGTTGTCTATGAGATCGTATTAATATTGAATTTCTTCTGAAACGTTTTCAAATAATAGTCGAAATATTTTATACAAATAACTACATGTAAGTGTTGTCCGAAGTTTTTGCCGCCTTTTTTACGTGTGATGGGATTTTTGACGGATGGCAAAATGTGTTTTTGAACGATGACGTCATTCAAACAATGACGTCATGATGACGTACCCTTGAGACTGCTATGAAGTCAATTCCAAATTCTGTCTTTATTAGATTTGTAGGTTATAATTTGGTGCGATAGCGTTGTCGTAATGACAATGTTTGGACAAATATGTTTTGTGAAAAACACAGTTTGTAAAAACTACAATTGAGAAATATATTTCGTTTTAAGACTTCATATGTTAAGTGCTCAATATCAAAGCAAGCAGTATAATACATAAAGGTATCTTTTCACTGACATCAATTGAGTCACAGTGGACTCTTGATCCATATCATTTCGGATGCTTTTGCCATTCGAAACAACCTGAATTGATCGCAAAACTGTCCGTCCTCGTTCCTATACAATGGTTGGAAAGATGTAATGACATATATGGACAGATGTTTCTTATGAAAATGCCATATATGGAAAGATATTTCTATTGACAACGCCATATATGGAAAGATATTTCTATTGACAACGCCATATATGGAAAGATATTTCTATTGACAACGCCATATATGGAAAGATGCTTCTTTTGACGATGCCATATATGGAAAAATGTTTTCTTTGACGATGCGACAACCACGACAACGGGTAAACATATGTTTGTTGATTTATATTACTGCTTTCGGTTTGCAGTTTTATCATATTTAGTCAAACTCAAACAAGGCCGTTGACTGGCTGACGCGCATGCGTAATAAGAAATGCCTCGGAGTGGACCTTCAGTGTATTCGTTATTGAAAAAATTAGCGATGAATATCGAAGACCAGGTTGAAGAAATTTGCAATTTCTGCTCGCAAATTTACAGAATACGTAGCTCTATTTTTTTTGCAATATTTATCTATCTTGAGACATACGTTTCAGTGAAGTGTGAGGGTAGACCAATATTGGTCCCTCTCCTCCCTTCTTAATTCGTTTGTGAATATTTTCCCACGTAATCCAGCTTGTGTTAATGCATTGTCGGGTTCTTACTGTTTTCTGACCTTTGCACCTGTCTTAAAGTAAACAGTCGCTTATGAGTACTTATAGACGTCAGTTGTGAAAATGACTAATGATTATGCACGTTGGTTGATTAATCTTGCCGGTCAGGGAGCGACACGTGACTATAGAGAAATTATAGAGAACTGGACGTGCGATGTAAGACACCGTAAAAATGGCATTACCTCAAGCAGGGGCGAGTCCATTAAATTCCATGCGTTAACCGTTGTTGCTTGCTGTTGGTTTGTGTCGGTATAAAAATGTTTTTCTTTGCTAAAATTTTGCTTGCATACTTGATGACTTACGCGAACATGTTTGTAAATGATGATCGTCCAGGTTAATAAAGTCCTTCTCAGGACTTTATTAACCTGGACGATCATCATTTACAAACATGTAACGATACTCCCGGGTTTAAACCATTTACTTTATCACGCAAACATTTATCGTGGAGGTTGAACATTAAAGTTTTTGATTGCATGATAATTGATGGCTTTCGTTCTGATGGAAAGCCACGCAGACAATTTACATGTATAATTTAAGTCCAAAAGTATTGTTTCATTCGGAGCAAGCACGACTTGTCAAAGCGATCACTTTGGAGCTCGTTTCTCTGCATTCTTGAATCCCGGCACGTTGGTGGTTGTTTTTCCTGGGAAAACGAAATTTCGTTCGATTTCCTTGTTTTCAAACATTTTAATTTTGATGCTATTAGCGTAATGCAATAAAATTACTGCTGTCATTTGTACACCTGCGCACGTATTGCAAGAAGACGAAACCTGTTTTCATTAAGTTTTCGAGTGAGATGATGACGAAACAGTTCAATTGAAAGCTCCGGGTCGCACACTGTCTTGACGTGTTTTCATTCAGCAGATTTCATAGAGCGTTTTAACACATCAATCCAGACAACGATGTACTTTCCTGTAAAATTCTGGTTGTCAGATGATTATATGAATGTCACATAGCTGTATAGAGTTTATGGGCAAGTTCTTGGTGATAGAAGGTAATTCATAGTGCTCATTCCTAATATCATATATTTGTTATTTAACATTTTTCGTGCGGCATCACAAAGCAAAACCACTTAGCAAATTGATAGTTCGTTGAAGAAGCCCAGCAGATCGCTTGTATTTATCGTTTGATTAGGGATTTTCCGCGCCTTTAAGTGATGGACAGTTCCAAACAACTTAACGTTCGTTTGAAGCTATACGTTTTCTGGTTACTACAATTTAGTGTTTTTATTTATTTGTGTACTTATTTTAGAACGATAGATCCCTCGTTGGTAATCTCTGCTACTCTAGCAATATTTGCTGTATATCTTGCTCGTTAGAGTTGTTGTGTGCGCGCGTTAGTAACGCCGCCTGTTGCGAAACTTTAAAACATACAAGTAAAACAAAAAAAGGCGTCCGACTAAAAATTGGGGCTTTCTATTAAATGTGTTTATATAAGACACAAGAAAAGTCGATCCTAGAACAGCGAATGGAAAAGTCGTTTAAACTAATTTTTCAAGATGTATCAAAGAAGGAAGACGTTTAGAAACTATTGGGATAATTTCAATGCATATCACTTTGCTAAGCCCACAGTTCACAAAGTATTTTCTAGTACGAGCATACATCTTTGTTCCGCAAAAGCTTTTCTGCTCCCGGATATTTAAAAGAACGTCTGACAGCAAAACACGTGCAGTAATGCACTATTAGAATTGGCATAGTCATCGGAAATTGGAAGCAGGGGTTAAACTTGAACGCTAATTTTGTGTGTGTATGTGTGTGTGTGGGGTTGTGTGATGAATATTCACCTGTTCTGCTTTGCCCTGATGATTTCTTTTTAAATTAAAATCGCTTTCAAAAGAAATCAATATGGCAGAGCTGAATATTTCAACATTCACCTCCACCCAACCCCTTAATAGCGTTCTTGTTTCGCCCCCTCCTGATTGAAAGTTCAATATAATTTCTAAATGTCTCCTTTCTCATACACCCCATTTATCATCTGTATGGTCTTATCTTCCTAGGAACACGAATTTTAGATTGACGGAATACCTCTTCGTTGAAAAACGTCAACTTGGAAGTAGTTTACAAGCCCGAAGCATGCGCGGACGTTTTCCGAATAATTTGCGTCGTATGATTTGAAATGAACGTCACGGGAAGTGAGGAAGCGGCTCGACTTCGCCGAATAACCATCGGCACATTCATGGCTTTCACAAATGTAGCGGTTTTTTGTGGCAATTATCTTGCGGTTGCATCTTTTTGCATCAATTCCAAACTTCACACCGTTACGAATTCTTTCATCGTGAGCATGTCCGTCGGGGATTTGCTGATCGCTTTGGTATGCATACCATCATTGCTCCTGGCTAACCTGTATGGTCCTCAGGTGCCCACAGGGGTAATTTATTGTCAGTTTTCCATCTCGATTACGGTGAGTCTTATGGGAGTGGCGATCGGAAATCTCGCCTTAAATTCGTTTGACAGATATCGCGTGATTTTGTATCCCTTGAAGTCTGACGTCACAAAACGTCACGTGTGTTGGAAGATTATCCTCGCGTGGCTGTTCGCGTTCGTTTTCGGCTTCCTTCCGTACTTTGGTTGGGGACGTTTGCCGAACGTGCGCAAAACGGACGAAACACTGTACTGTCAAGTGCGGGCAAATTTGTCGTGGAATTACACTTTGGCGTTTTTGTGTCTCGCCGGCACACCGTTTTCTCTGATGGGCGTGGCCTATTGGAGAATACTTACGACAGCACGACGTCATACAAAAGTCATAGTAGCGGACGCAGCAAGGTTTCATGGCTCTAAGCGCGTGGACTTTATCAAAGAAACTCGTGCCGCTAAATTGGTCGGCGCTATTTTGGCTGCTTTTATGATATGCTATTTACCGCTTTTCGTGATAGTCATTGTGGATTTGTCCACTAACGGACTCAACTCGCACGCTTACGTTGGTGGTGTATTAATGGCGACGATTAATTCGGCCATCAATCCATTCATAATGGCTGCGATGAATAGAGAGTACAGGCATACATTTTATCGCGTAGCACGATGCAGGTGGCGCAAGACTCGAGATTAAACTATTCGTTGAAAATAGAGATCAGTCGGCGATCACTCGCGATGCATGATAAATCGGGAATTGTCGTGCATCAGTCGTGTAAAGATCATGATAACAGCAATGTTGCATGCGTTAATTGCCAAAGTACGTCAATATGACAATATGCTGATCACGTGGAACAAATAAAAAATAGTGTATCTCCTTTATACTTAGGACTTTAGTTTTTCCATAAAACCTTACAATGATTGCTTTTTAAATGCTAATTTTTTGGCTTGGCTTTTCAACATTTGTTACTTACAAAGTTTTGGTGAAGTTGTAAAGATGTATAGACGTAATGGCCATTAGATGGTCAATTTATAAAATGTTTTCATTTTTTTATACAAGCAGCTCATCGAAACTAAAATGTTCACACTGCAAAAATATTAATGACTGGATGTTGACATCCATAATTCCTTGCAAACTTGTACCCAGGCTCTTTACTTTGATGCTCCTACCTCACTGAAGGCCTGAAGCATTAAGATCCTGGTAAGGGCTGAGCCTGGGTGAAAGGTTGAATTACTTGGTCAACAAAGCTTAGGTATCACCATTTATTTGTTGCCTAATTTTGCCAAGTACATGTTCATCAAGGTGTCTCGACCTGCACCACACAACTGAACTTGATAAAAGACCCAAGATGAGTGCAGTGATCTATAATTTAGAGAAAATACATATGATTTTATTCAAATGAATTTTAAGTGTGGTATTAGGTGTAGTATAGCCCAATTCCTGCTAGAGTGGAAGTTCTGTTAAGGTCTAGGCTTGTTTAAGTTCTTTCGAGGAACTTATTATTCTTGACTTGAAAAGAGTCTTTAGGGAAATCTACCAACCAATGAAGTTTCCCCACACTTGCTTGAGCCCACAATGACATTGGCTAAAAATGGGATGTATTTCATAGTATCACAAACCTGAAAAATCCAGAACTTTCTTTCTTCATTAGTACGACAGCTACAGTTTTGATTCATATTTAAAACTATATTAGTGAGATGTTAAGACAACTCATATTGCCTACTGTTGATTCATTACCTTGAATAAAACTCTTCACCAGTTGTTTCACATCGGTTTTTTTGCCTTTGTCCAGACTCCTGGCATTCAGGATATTTGCTAGGACTTTCCTTTAAAACAGAGTCAGTGTGTATTATTATGAAATAATAACACGTAGGTGAAACATTAAATAAGTAGATATTACGCTTACCAGCTGATACTTCAAACAGTTTTGGCATTCCTCTAGCAACACAACTTTACTGCAATCTGAATTGGAAAATTGTCTCATTAATATTTACGTGTCTGATATCTTCGAATACAACCATTTTTTATTTTTACAGAAAATTTACTACGGAAACTATCTTAAAAAAACAATGAAAAAACAACAAAACCTTCCGTTTGATTTCCGCCACGGAGTGCTTTTGTGTTGCTCGCCAAAGCAAAACTTACTAATTTTGACAGGTCTACATTCAAACTAGAAAAAATCAATGATCCATCATATTCAATATCAATTGTTCTACGCACGATTTAAAGTGATAATAATATTTTTGCTGTACCTAAGATTTAGGATCAAGAGACCAATGATCATCACAATCAATGCAAAAATAAATTTGGATTTGGATGACTTCGACGACATTTTGTTTACAGATTTTACAAATATGACTAGTTCCAGTCTTCATTCATCGACCTCTCTTTACTATTTTACTCAACGATCCAATAAACACCTCGAATGAAATGAGAGCTTGTATTTTAGTTTTTAGATCTCTTTAAATCTTCCCCAATGTACTTCCATTATGATAATATAAATACTTAAGTAGGTTGTCCTTGTTGATTGGCTCAGAAATCTTACATTTAGTGATAGAAAGAATTCATACACGTCTCTCTTAAATTAAACTGACAGAAATACTCTGTAGTATTTAGTTTTACATGAAGTATTGCTCATGAGAACACTTTATCATTCTCTCGCCAGAGATAGAGAAAATAAATGGGAAATTCTTCTCATGGACGAAACGTATTCTTTATTCTGATCGCTCAAACGTTATTATACTTCTTCGGAATATATGTATTCACTCGTGGATTCCTCTTAAACCGCATAGTGGTGCCCAAAAACAGCACATGTAAAGATGAAGAAATTTTTATTGGGTTGAATCGCGAAGCAAAAGATGACCACTGTTGGATGAAATCCGTTTTAAACGGGCAGTTCTTCTCCTAATTGATGCATTGAGATATGATTTTATGGTGTATGATGAAACCTTAGAAGCAAAAGATGAGTTAAGTTTTCAAAACAAGCTCAAAGTCATACATGAAGTTTTAAAGGACATGCCCAAAAATGGACGTAAGTGGAAGTTTGTTGCAGATCCACCAACTACTACAATGCAAAGAATCAAAGGAATTACTACAGGTATTTTGAGATAATTTGGGATCAAGTTTACCATATCATTGCTACTAGTATTTCTTCAGTTAGCAACAAACTCAACTTAGTAAGGCAAAGCATGTATCAGAGATCATGAATCATCTGATGTTGCCATGCTGAAACTTGAGCGCTTACATACTCTAGTGTAGTGTCTTCATCAGGAGTGACTTATGTTGAAACTTGAGTCATTATATACTCCAGTCTAGTGTCTTCATCTGGAGTGACTTATGTTGAAACTTGAGTCATTATATACTCCAGTCTAGTGTCTTCATCAGGAGTGATTTATATTGAAACTTGAGTCATTATGTACTCCAGTCTAGTGTCTTCATCAGGAGTGACTTATGTTGAAACTTGAGTCATTATATACTCCAGTCTAGTGTCTTCATCTGGAGTGACTTATGTTGAAACTTGAGTCATTATATACTCCAGTCTAGTGTCTTCATCAGGAGTGACTTATATTGAAACTTGAGTAATTATGTACTCCAGTCTAGTGTCTTCATCAGGAGTGACTTATGTTGAAACTTGAGTCATTATATACTCCAGTCTAGTGTCTTCATCAGGAGTGACTTATGTTGAAACTTGAGTCATTATATACTCCAGTCTAGTGTCTTCATCAGGAGTGACTTATATTGAAACTTGAGTCATTATGTACTCCAGTCTAGTGTCTTCATCTGGAGTGACTTATGTTAAAACTTGAGTCATTATACACTCCAGTCTAGTGTCTTCATCTGGAGTGACTTATGTTGAAACTTGAGTCATTATATACTCCAGTCTAGTGTCTTCATCAGGAGTGACTTATGTTAAAACTTGAGTCATTATATACTCCAGTCTAGTGTCTTCATCAGGAGTGACTTATGTTAAAACTTGAGTCATTATATACTCCAGTCTAGTGTCTTCATCTGGAGTGACTTATGTTGAAACTTGAGTCATTATATACTCCAGTCAAGTGTCTTCATGTGGAGTGACTCATATTGAAACTTGAGTCATTATATACTCCAGTCTGGTGTCTTCATCAGGAGTGACTTATGTTAAAACTTGAGTCATTATATACTCCAGTCTAGTGTCTTCATCAGGAGTGACTTATGTTGAAACTTGAGTCATTATATACTCCAGTCTAGTGTCTTCATCAGGAGTGACTTATGTTAAAACTTGAGTCATTGTATACTCCAGTCTAGTGTCTTCATCAGGAGTGACTTATGTTAAAACTTGAGTCATTATATACTCCAGTCTAGTGTCTTCATCAGGAGTGACTTATGTTAAAACTTGAGTCATTATATACTCCAGTCTAGTGTCATCTGCAGGAGTGATGTATTGAAACCTGATTGATTATATCTAGTTTAGTGTCTTTACAGAAAGTGCTTTTATTTTAAAACTGCAGTCTTTATGTTCTCCAATTTATTGATGTGGAATTGCTGAGACCAACATCATGATTTATTTTCAAAATTTCTTTTTACTTGAAAAAATAGGTGGTTTACCGACATTTATTGATGTTGGAGGCAACTTTGCCAGTTCTGAGATTCGCGAGGATAATGTCATAACACAACTGAAAAATCTTGGAAAAACGACAGTTTTTATTGGAGATGAAACATGGATGGGTCTTTTCCCAGGTAAAAAAACAGACAGAAAAAAGACTGGCATTTTGACAACTAAGTGGTATAGCCAACCCGTATATTTTACCCCACTATGTTAAGTTTGCTGTTCGATCACAGTAGAAGCAATAGATTTCTAAAGAGATGAATAATGTTAATGATTAGAAATTTACATAGCATGACCAAAACTTGCAGGCTGGCAACGTTATTGACTGAAAAGATTTGCAGACATTTGTAGGACATAATTGTCAAAGACACTTGAAGAATTTACTTCACAGTTTTATAAGCCAAGGTTTGAATAAGGCGAGGAAACAAAATGTGCGAAATTTTCATAACATAATACGGTGTTTTATAATACTAGTAGCTAACCAAAACATGCTTATTTCAAACAATAATATGCAATATCCTAATTTCCAGCCAAAACAACTATGATTTTGTAAATGACTTTAGAGCTGTGATTGTTCCAGAAATTTTATCTTTGTTTTGGTATTTTTAGAAGAGAAAACGTTCGGTTTTGGTTCGGTTTTTTAAAAAAATCTACCGTCCATTATAGGTACTTTAAGTGAAAAATTTATGCAATTTCCTAAAGCAAACAGCAAAAGTTTTTGTAAAATGCTAAAGTGCGAAGCAAAAAACCCACGTACGATTATATGGGTCGAAAGATGAGCACTTGGAAAGTGAGTTTTTTAAGGTAGACATCACAATTTCAAGCAATTTATTTTTTACTGACAAAAACTAGAGGAAAGAGAAAGTGAACTGTGGTAAAATAGCTTGGAGAAAAGAAAGAAAGCTTCGTTTCAGATTCTCATGTCATATAATACCACATAATAAATTTTTTATTAACCTAGCTCGCTGGGTCATAACGGAGAAATATAATGTGGACATAAAGTAAATGGTTTGAACCCGGGAGTATCGTTACATGTTTGTAAATGCAGATCGTCCAGGTTGGTATAGTCCTGAGAAGGACTTTTTTTGTTGTTGTTGACGGAAATGTTTTATTGTCAATGACAATACACATTTCCTGTACACACAGTACAATGACGTAAGAACCAGATAACAAATACGGCTAACCTGACGTTTACTCCTCATTTGACTCTGAAGATGACTACCGCTAAGGTTGTCGAAACGTCAGTCAACAACAACAAAAAAAGTCCTTCTCAGGACTATACCAACCTGGACGATCTGCATTTACAAACATATAATGTGGACATCTCACTTCGGTACGAAATTTCTCTGTTGAGACCCCGAGCTTTGTTGATAAGGGCTTATTAGTCACTGTATTTTAGGTGGTTTTTCAAGACAATATCCTTATCCTCCATTCAACGTGAAAGATTTGCACACGGTTGATAATGGTATCATATCTCATTTAATACCCGAGATAAAGCGGCCAGATTGGGATGTTGTCATTGCACACTTCTTGGGAGTTGACCATTGTGGTCATAGATACGGTCCATATCATCAGGCAATGGCTGAAAAATTGACGCAAATGAACGATGTGTTAAGGTAAACAATCCTTGAAATATACCCCTAACACTTTTGAGGCGATGTAGGATCGTTTAGTGGTGTTTTGGAGCGGGGCTTTTGTGGGGTGGGCTCAGCCTATTATGTTGATATTCTATTTCAAGTTGGGGTGAACTAAGCCCCCCCCTTCATGACTCTTTGAGATTGCATAAATGAGATTTTTATCTCGTTTAAATTCTGTCCTGAGAATCTTTACGTAGTGTTTTATAGACCGTGGATTATCGATGTTCTTTTGATTTGAAAAGTTTAGTGTAAGTGTGACGTTACAATAAAGCTTTGCATCAAAGTTGAAAAAGCGGTATTCTGGCAAAGTACCTTATTTCTTTTCCACTTTATTATTTTTATGATATCCACTCGAAATACATATCAGAAAGCGCCCTTGTTGAATATTTGACCTTGCTTCTATGTGATCATTATCAAAGGCCTGGATCGAGTATTGCACTTGCTGGCGGCAAATTTGAAAAATTAATGTTTCCTGCGAAATATTTTCGATAACAACTATTGCAAAAAGCCAGCGTTTGCCTGTGAATTCCTAAACTGTATGAGATATTAAGTTGAGCACGCTTAGTGCTGGTATAAATTTGCGAAACATCTGTGTATACATGAAGTGAGAAACATCTTGTGTATACTTAATCAAATGAACTGTATCTTAAATCTACTTCATATTTTCGAAAAATTTCCTGCGAGATACGTACATGTAGTTAACTAAGATACATGTGAATATCATTGCAGGCTCTTGTTTTCCACATTTATTAAGCTAACCGCCGACCTTTTAAAATCGATTCCCTCAGAATTTTGTAGTATAGATTGATTATGCCTTCAAGCATTCATAATGCAATTTATAGTACAAAAATATGAGCCTGCTATATACATATTTACATCTTAGTAAAGTGAAATTATTTGCGCTTGTTTGAGTGTAAAATCCCGCATACAAGCGTGTCCTTACTAACGATGATCTGTAATCATCAAACACACAGGTCGGTGATAGATTCTTTGGACAATGATACCATCTTGATGGTGTTCGGTGATCATGGTATGACTAGGACAGGTGACCACGGTGGTGACAGTGACAACGAAATTCAAGCTGGTCTATTCGTGTACAGTCCCATGCCAATCTTCAGTCGCGCGCACTACGAAGACGTCATATTTCAGACGGACATCGTTCCGACGTTGTCATTGCTTCTTGGGTCACCTATACCTTTTTCCAATCTGGGTATCGTAGTGCCCAGTCTTTTTGATGATTTAAAAAATTCAAGCGTTGCGAATGATGATTTTTCCCGTGTGGAAGCACTCCGCTTGAACGTTTTACAAGTTCAACGTTATTTAAAAGAATACTCGTTGTTGTCAAGCGATATTTCGTCAGGTGCTCTAAAAGAAATAACGGAATCCTTATTCCGCCAATTAAACTTCTCTAGTGCTAAGATGGTCGATAGGAACAATTTTTCGATCAATTCAGCACTAGCAAAAGAAAACGCTTATCTGACTTACTTAAAAGATGTCAGGGAACTCTGTCGCACGGTTTGGGCAAAGTTCGACCTTCCTGTTATTCAAACTGGTATTTTTTCCGTATCCATAACTTGTTTTTCCGGTTTTCTATTCTCTTTAGAACCGAAATTTATCTTACATGATAAAACTTTGACGTATCTGTTCCAGTATGGTTTTCTTTCATTGATTTCCGTAGTTATGGCCGCATACACATTTTCATATAAATTCGTCTGGATATTTTGCATTATTTATGTCTTGTCATGTGGATTGTTACTTTATTCATATTTTCTCGCCTATATCAGAGACAATTTTAAACTGCTCACGAAGGAAGGGCTCCTCGTGATTTTCGTATTCACTCTTCAGTTTCTGGGCCACTTTTCCAACTCTTACGTTGTGAACGAAGATAAAATTTTGCTCTTTCTAATACAAACCGTACTATTTATTTGCGGGACAAACTGTTTACTGGAAAATGTAAAATATGAATTGGGCAAAACGAAAAACCTCAAAGAACAAAAGAAAAATTATATGAAGAAGCTTGGCTTATTTCAAATGGTTCCCATGGAGACAAAACGTCAACTGGGATGTTTGTTTAGTCTCATGGTTGTAGTACGGTTGGGCTCATTGTTTTGGCCTTGTCGCGAAGAGCAAGTGAATTGTGTACCCGAACCAATACAAAATTTGCAACAAAATGGCTACCGTTTACTTGCAAGCGTCGGATTATTTCTTCTTGTTCCAGGCGTCCTGATTTTTTGGCTCAAAGCCAGTAGTAATTTATATGAATTTTCGTTCTCTAGTTTTGCGTTGAAGTGCGCGTTGCCGTTTGGCGCCTTTTTCGGTTGCGTTCATTGGCTCTTGCAGTATGTTCCTCCATCATTAATGGATCAAAATTTTCTTATTTTGTTCATTCATCAAATTCTCGCCCCTTGTATTCTTTATAGTTGTTGTTTTCTTGTCCTGTGTTGTATTGTTTACAAACCAATCACAGCGTTCTTTGTTTTACCGTGCCATTTGAGGAAAGAGTCGATACTTTACAGTCGGTCACTTTTAAAATCGATTGTGGAAATTTTCAAACATTTGCGCAGGGAATTAAGCGACTTCAGTGAAACTTCCGAGTCGCCTAATGTCTATGGGTTAGGTACGGTTTACTCGTCAGCACTGCTGATTGTGCTCGTCTGCGTTGCATTACCGTCGGCGCTCGTGCTCGGGGATGGCCTGGGACCCAGTGTGACGTTGATGATCCTTGAAATGTATTTATTACTGGAGTTCGACAAAAAGGCGGCTCTTGAAGCATCCGATGGAAAAGCAATGTCGTTCGGTTAGTACGAAAAGATTGTTATGTATCTGTAAATGATTTTAAACAATTGATTTTCGTTTCAGGTTCTTTGCTATTTTCGGTATTGACTTGGAGTCAACTGTCTTCGTATAATTTCTATGCCTCTGGACATCAAGCCACGATTCCGTCCATAAGATTCGAGGCGGCTTTCGTTGGCCTGCCCGGTGATATGAAAAATCTTCTTTTGCCCGGTGAGTGAAAGAGACTATTTTTATAATTTTGGCTTGATATAGGTGTTATATAACTCCAGTATAAAGCTCTTGTCGCAAGCCCATAATTTAATGTGCGTCGACTCGTTCGATGATCACCGCAGTTTTAAAACAACCTAAAGTTTCTCATAAAATGCCAGCAAAGGATATTTCGCATCAGTGTTGTTAATGATGGCAGTGACGAGTGTCAGTGTGTCGTGTTTTGCGCGCTTAGTGTATGTACTTAAATACAGGAACTTCCGCTGTTGTGAGAAGTCTTTGCATCTTTTCATCTGTTTTAGCACATTTTGCAATATTCATGTTGTTTTGACTCTACTCGGCTTAAGATGTTAAAGCGTCCTCTTTGGGGGTTACCTAAAGAGGCCAACCGACAGCACAAAGCATGACCCCAAGACCAATGATTTAGAGCCCAGTCCCCTTGAGGTCTGACTGCTATGTTAAGGTGAAGTTATTGGGTGAAGTGGGTAAAGGAAGGACGCCATCTTAAAAGGTGGCAGAAAGCGAAATTTTCAATCGAAAACAAATTAGAAGAAAGTTTAACAAACCAAGCATATAAAACATTTTCAAAATCAAACTTAGACTAACAACTCTGCAACTGTATATCAACGCAGAAGAGCAGATTTTGGTCGTAAATATCGTCAGTTTTGCCACTTTCCAAGATGGCAGTTTACCAAGTTTGCCTCACACGTATCGTATTCGACAAAGTCAGATGTCTGGTAGATAGGATTGTAGGTCATTGCCTGAGGCACATTCTTTTATACCACACGATAACTTCGTTTCCAGGTCTCCGCCATCTAAACTTTGCCCTTTCTTTATAGGCTTTCTTATATTACTAAATACATTAGCATCTGAGGTGCTGTTTGTTGTTGCGTTGCCGCTGATCATGTTTGTTAGAAAACGAAGGTACAGAAATAAAACGAGTGCTTCAGAGAATCAAAATCCTTTGGAGGAATTTGTCTACCATGAAAATCCGATGGTGCTCCGTTCCGATCTTTTCAGAGTTTGCACGTTGTACCAAGTTTGCAAAGCACTTCGGGTAAGTTCCATGTTTTGTTTATTGTCGTTCAAATCCAAATTACATCATATTTGATTTGTAGCTTCTCGGAGCAATGTCGGCGGCCGCCGTACATCGTCGTCATCTGATGGTATGGAAGATTTTCGCGCCAAAATTCATTTTTGAGGGTGTCTCTTTTATTGCGACATTGATTTTGACAACATTGATGTCGGTTTTTGTTCTGAGAATTGACATAGAATTGGATGAATGGTGCAAAAAGTTGCAGTTTTGGACGATTTTCAGTCAGCTTTCAGGAAAATCAGGAAGCAAAGCTTGTCCGTCAGTTTCCGCAAGAAAATAATGTTCTGTGATGTGAAATTTGATTCCAGTCCCCCGAACTTTCCATGATCCCCTCCCCCATGTGTGTTGAATGACGAATAATTGAGTGTAGAAAATATTTTTGCTATTTTCTTATCGCCTCAAAGAAATTTGTAATCAAAACTTGTATTTGTATACCGTAATTACTTTGTCCAGTATTCGAGCTAACCTGTTCCATTATAAGCGGAGCTAGATTTTACTTTATTTTACACCTCTACAGGGTGTATGCAAAAAGAACAGAGACTTTAGGAGCCGACGTATTAATTGTGATAATTTCAATGTCTATCTCTATGCTGAGCCCACGAGTACATAAAGTATTGTCAGCGAGCTACGTGCCTACATATATTTTGTTACAAGCACGAAAGTTTTTCTTGAAGTAACTTCTAACAGTAAAACATGCACAATAATGCACCAGGAGGAATAAAAATTAAGTGATTAAATGCAATGAAAGCTTACAATGGGGTTGATTCACGGGTTAATTTCTCAAGGCCTATTTTTTATTGACCCAGTGTAAATGTGGAAGGAGGGGGGGGGTTCATACATGCATGTAGAAAGCAAGTGATTTCAAAGGAATTTATAATACGGCAGGCAGAACATAAGGAATGTGATCACCAATTATCGAGGTGACTACGCCATTGCCTGACAGTTATTTTAGACTAGACTGGGGGCTGCTCCGTTCATTACAAAAATCTCTTGAAAAACAAATACATCAGGTTGTTTTATGCATAACGCTATTTGCGGTAAAAGTTACGTTAATCTTTCTACTTTATGGCTGTTTTCGTAGAAAAATAAATGTCGAGATCGATATGTGTCTGTCTGTACATATTGATTTCAAATGACTGACTTTGTTGAATTTTTTTGGAAAAGTTATATAAGCTTCTTTCATAGTCACGGGCAACCTGCCACTATTGTTCTATATTATGTTAATATATTTTGGTTTAAGGACGTCATATCCGGTGACATATATAAACCAACTTAAGAATTTAATATTCACCAATATTACGCAGACGGGCAGCACACACCCATCCACTAAGTTTATTCAAGTCGACCTTTATATTGATGTAATGGCAGAAAGCGAAGGAGCCGCAGAGCAAAGTTCGCCAAAGGTCTCGGAAGGAATGAATTTGAAGGCTCTTGTCATCGGGGGCACTGGAGCTACCGGCAAGAGTTTGATTGGAGAGCTGCTGTCAGCGAAGGTAATTGAAACATACATGCCCATTCAAAAGATATCGTTTTAATATCGGCCGCATCCTCTCTCATTTAACTCTGCATGCAAAATATGTTTTAAGTTTAATTCCGCTGTTGTCACTTAGTAATTATACGAAATTTGAGTGGTTAATATGTATGAACGTGAAAATATGCCGTGGAATTGCTGGTCTTGCAACTTGTATGAGATGAATTCTAGAAACGACGAATATTTTGCTTCGACATTGGATTGCGCAAATCAATTCAATCCGATTATGTATAAAATTAATGTTTCAAAATGTTACATATATAGTAGTCGTAGTATCTACAGTTTTAGTCCCCAGATTTTGCTTTGTAGTTCCAGCTTTTTTTAGCTTGTTTTCAACTTATTATTAACCTGATATTCATAGGTCATTGGTATCTCACTTAAACAGAAAATAGAACTGTTTAGTTTTGCAGCAGTGTTTAAAATTTCGTATTAATGAATAAACTCGGAATAAGTAATGACCCATTGGAATGACCATGCTTCCATTCTGTTTAGAATTTTGCAAAAGTGATTGCTCTTGGACGAAGGAATGCCACCGTGCCAGAGCAGTATAATGTCGACCAAGCAGAAGCTGAGAAAGAAGGCAGACTTGTTCAAGTTACTGTTGGTATGCCATTAATGCTTACATATGCAGCTATTCCGCATTAAGTTCTTGTATGAATGTTGTTCCCCTCCCTTATCGAGATGGTGATGCCACTGATGTTAACTTTAAAATTGTTGATGGTAACATTGAAATGGTTGTTGGTAACTTTAAAATGATTTGTGGTAAATTTAAAATGGTTGGTGGTATCTTTAAAATGGTTCGTGGTAACTTTAAAATGGTTGGTGGTAAATTTAAAATAGTTGGTGGTAACTTTAAAATGGTTGGGTGGTAACTTTAAAATGGTTGGTGATAACTTTAAAATGGTTGGTGATAACTTTAAAATGGTTGGTAATAACTTTAAAATGCTGTTTGGTAGTTTTTAACATTCTGTATGGCAACTTTTGAAATGATTAACTACTATTTCAAAACGGTTTATGTTAACTTGAAAATGCTTTATGGTAACTTTAAAATGGCTGATGGTAACTTTAAAATTCTTGGTGGTGTGGTAACTTTTTAATTGTTCGTGATAACTTTAAAATGGTTGGTGGTAAGTTTAAAGAAGTTGATGGTAACCAATGATAACCATTTTCAAAGTTACCATTGGTTTGTAGCAGTGGCTATGTCCATAAGGAGGACATGTTCACTCCATTCAGACAAATTTTTTAATCTTTCAAACTCTGTGAAGAAAATATGCAAAGGGGAGATTAAATAATTTTTAATGTTTCCTATGATGATTTTGACTGTGTGCTCACAACTTTAGCCAATTTCTTGTCATTCTGATTCATCCCAAGAAGATATCTTATGCATTAAAAGCTTTTTCCAAGTGCATGTGAGTAGATATGTTTATAAACAAAGTGGGATGTTACTTTTAAAATGATGTAAATTGAACAAAGCATTTATTGTGAGTAATGAACAAAATGATTTGCGGTGACTTTGAAGATATTTGATGGTAACTTTTCCATGAGATCACAGCATTTCAGTGATATCAGCACTTCTTGACAAATCATAGATTTTGAAACTCTTACAAAGGAGAGTGTAGCCGAACATTTCCAAGATGGGGATGTCTTCTTCAATACATTTGGAACTCAAAGAAACAAAGCTGGGTCAGCGGTGGGTGTTATACTTACAATTTAGTGACAATAGACTACAAAACTTTTCATTTATTTATTAGCTCTCTGAGTTTTTTCTTAAAGTTCTAATTTTTCTTTTTTCTTATTGGAGTCATATCTCTGCTTTGCATTTTTGTCTGCCTTGCTGCACGTGCATGCCTTTTTTTGGGCCATGGTGAATGGAGTACACCCCAACCCGATAGCTGCAGCATGCATCAACCCTCCCGTATTCTTGCAAATGTCCACCAAATCAGGGGGGTGAACTCTCTTTAACTCATTGCACACCTTATCCAGGCAATCTTTGAACCCTTTATCACATTTGTCGCGGTCAGCTTTGCAAACATCATAGCACTTGTCATGTGCATTGCAACAATTTTCAAAACTGGGGAAAATGCTCGTATCCAACTTTATACCCATGGATCCACAACCGTTGCTGCTAGGAATGTGTCCCGGTCTTGGCACTGGCTCCGAACCGTCCGGGCAGGTTGCTTTACATGATTGTTCGTCACCACTTGACATCAGTTTGAAAAAGCTCCCCAATGTTTCGATAGATTTTTGTTGATCGTCAGTGTCGCCATTTTCAAATTCGTTTTGTGCTAAAACGGCCGTTGAAACGAAAATAGAGAATGCCAACAGAAAAATATTGATCGGGATTTGCATGTCTTCTGTTTGTAATTAGAAACGTTTTCTGTTAAAACTTACAAAATATTTCGTTATAATTTCGCTTGTGCGAGTAGTTGGTGTATTTGGCTGTTATATTCTCCCAAAAATGTTGACGCTTTTATCCATGGTATCGAAGAAAGCGATTCCAGTCTTTTGTCTTCTGGTTTGAGCGATTCAATCTTGTCAAACAGTGGCCATTATTGCACTGAAGTAAGAGCTGCTTGTGGCAAAAGGACGACCATTGTCTGCGTCCTTTCTCTTATTTACATAAATAATTTATATCCAGCCAACCGTTTTACTTAATTATTTCTATATGCTTTATTAAAGGTACCACATACTAGAATCAGTACTGGCTAGAATTGTAATGATAAAGTTAATTTTGTATCCCATTCAAACAAACTGAAGCAAAGCTGAAATTTTTATGTCAATGATATTATCAAGTGTTAATGGTTAATATCAGATTACTCCAGCATGAATACATTAATTCATGTAATTATAATAAATTAAACTGAGTTTAACATTCAAGTTTCAACATCAGATTAATTCCAGTGAAAACACTACATTGTAGTATTTTAAAGAACTCAGGTTTTAACGTCAAATTACTCCTGATGAAGACCCTAGACTGGACTATAAAGCCCGCCGCACACTGGTGAACTTGCCGCGCGTACTTGTTATTCGTGACAAGTGTGATAAACAAAATTTCCTGGTGTGCGCGGAAGTTTTGAACAACATTCGTCATTCGTGACAGATGAGTCAAATATCAAACGCGTTTCAGGTTTCAGGATCATATCAATATTCATGATGACACTCTACTAATGTAGTACAGCATTGCTTCCAACTTATTCTTAAAACTTGAAAACTCAAAATTTGAATCTTAAAATCTCTAGGAGGCCTTCTTCAAGATTGATCACGACTATCCAATGAAATGCATCAAAATTGCGAAAGAATGCGGGGTGAAGCACGTCTCAGTGGTTACTTCAAATTACGCGAAAGCGGACAGTCGTTTGTTGTACTTGAAAACCAAAGGGCAGGTAAGCTCGAGTAAAGTCCGTTCCACTCCTCTTCTTACTTGGTTGAGGTTATGCGCTGAAAGACTTGCACTAGTTCATTGAATATGCGGTTCTTCAAGGCTTTGTATGCCATTGAACTTTTTCGTAATTTTTTTCTGTGCTCAAAGTTTTTCGGTGTCTTTTGGTCTAGTTGTCTTGAAATTTTATAAGTTTGATCATACTTCTTCAAATATAATGGTATTTTTAAAAGCTACCACAAGGGTTACTGTTTAATTTTTATAAATATATAAATGTTTTTACTTTTTGAATTTTTTTTACAAAAGAACCGAGTCTACTTGCAATAATGACAAATTCGCTTTAATTCAGCCCTCCCTGACTTGTCGCTCTTCCTGCCAAAAATGAAGCTGGCAATCCCGCTAGTGCCATTTTTCATGCGCAGCCAAAAGAAAGTTCATTACGACAATAATCTATAAAGCTAGACTTATTCTCGTTTTACTGGAGGTAAACAGTGTGCTCATCATTCAAGCATACTCATGTAAAGATAGCCGTCCAGTTACGTATTTAGTTCAGTGATCTAAGATTTCAACTTATGAAACTTTTTGCCACGCAATGTGTCCGTTAAACTACACCTGTACCAAAATAGTTTTTACATTTTACCTCGTCCATACAGTATTTACTGATTCGTTTTAAAGTATGAAAAAATTAACCTACGCAACAGGTTTGGGTTTCTTTGGAAGATATTTTAAATGTAGATTCCTATAAATGGCGACTATCCGTATTTCTTGGGTGAGATCATAGGCCATATAAGGTCATTATATGATGTATCAAACTTTCTGCGTTACGGTCATTTTAGATTGAAGAAGATTGCAAGAAGCTCGAGTTCGAACGTGTTAGTATCATTCGACCGGGCTTGTTGGGACGCGGCCCTGACGCTAAAATGTCTGAAAAATTTTTCGGTAAGTCTGTTTTGTCACTTTCCCATTTTGTAACGCGCTTCTACTGATATTCACTTCTGTATTGACGATCGAAACCTACTGTCAAAAGATAACAGAAAATATTCACTGAAAGGGGAGGGAATTGTTGTAACGTACCTGTTATGGTAGGGTTAGTTGTACTGAAGAGAAGGGTGCACCCTCCCGGCCGTGGTTTGAGTAAGTACAGGAGAGGCGCCACTTTCCCTGCGGAATGTTTATAATACTGTGCAAAGCAAAAACAATTGTAATTAGTCTTTAATGGAGCAACCGTTCCAAAAATATCTTTCAATCATTGTGTAAAAGTAACAAAACAAGGCACGCCAAACTTACCACCAAAATGTAATTCAAATTAGAGCACTTTCCCCCTTGTAACAAAATCATCCTGGATCCATCCCTGTGTTGTACTGCGATCTCTGTGTTCGTTCTCGTATACTATTATAGTTATTGTTACATATGTGCTGTGTATGTTGAATGTGATTGGTTCGTACATAGTCACATGACTTGAAATTAAAAGTAGTGAGTTTTGTTTTCCTCGATTTTCAATCAGTGCTCTCACTTTTAGGGAATTATCCTTAATAATAGGATTTTCTAAAGGCTTTGAGGATATTTTAAAGATGTTTTTATACTTTAAATTAATATACACTTAATAATATTTAATGTTTTATTACAAATACAACGTTGACAAACTTCAAAACAGCAAAACACGAGGAAAAACCATGAAAAAGCATTTTTTGAGCCTATGTGCTCACGCCTTGTAGTAATTTTTGCAAATTTAAGGAATTTAATGGTAATTTGAGAAATTTTAAGCATTTTCTAAGGACTAGGAAATTTGATTGTGAGAGCACTGCTTTCAATGTTTCCCCAGGCCAACTTGGGAAAAAAACTCACTCTTTACCTCGGAGCATACATTTAATTGTATAAAGTAGACATTGTTTTGGCGAGCGTGCATAATGAAGGACCGTTATATTTTCTCATCTCTGCTTGCTAGACACGGAATAAAATTGAAATAGATACAATTTGTGACGTTATACGTCTGGAAACTTACCGACGGTTCACTTGTGATTTGAGAAAGTGCCTGGCAGTCTGTCTTATTATTGCTTGCACTGGAGTCTGGGGGAAGTATAGGTTTATGAATTTGAAATCTAGCTAAAAATTTTGCTTCCATGGATTCCTTATTATTATATAATTTCATTGAATTTCTCTGATGCTTTCTACCGGAAGCGAAGTCAACTGAGTCGGCGTCGAAACTCCCAGAGTTTATTGAGCATTCTAGCTTCTGGAAATATACCATGTTTCACCAAGGTTTTGTATTGCAAACCGGCACTTCTATCACTTCTATCTCTTCTTCACTTGACATTTCACGAAATTGACCCAATCTTTCGTCTGTCTTTTTAAAGGGTTTTTCTTCAAAGCGATACAAGTCACTGATATAGCAAAGGCAATGCGTATCGATGCCGAGAATGTGGCTAAAACCTTGAAATCAGGTGAAACCTCAGGTATGGAGAAGTGTCGCATTTTCTTCAATGCTGATGTTTGGAACATGATCAAGGACGTAGAATGAAATTAATATATCGGGTTTTGCCTAAAATAGTTACTTGCACTATATTTTCATATCAGCAAAATAACTGTCACTTTTTTCATCGTTTGTTTTCTTGGATTCCTAAACTATGCATGCTTTTTGTTTGCTTAAAGTATTCTCTCTGTTTCCTAAAGTCTCATGTTCTTTGTTTCGTAAAGTATTAATATATTCTGTTTCCTTGAAGTATTCATGTTCTCTGTTTCCTAAAATATTCATGTTCTCTGTTTCCTAAAATATTCATGTTCTCTGTTTCCTAAAATATTCATGTTCTCTGTTTCCTAAGTATTCATGTTTTCTGTTTCCTAAAATATTCATGTTCTCTGTTTCCTAAAGTATTCATGTTCTCTGTTTCCTAAAGTATTCATGTTCTCTGTTTCCCACAATATTCATGTGCTCTGTTTCCTAAACTATTCAATTTCTTTGTTTCCTAAAATATTCATATTCTTAGTTTCCTAAAGTATTCATGTTCTCTGCTTAAAGTACTAATGTTCTCTGTTTCGTAAAGTATTCATGTTCTCTGTTTCAGTATTCATGTTTTCTGTTTCCTAAAGTATTCATGTACTCTGTTTCCTATAAAGTATTCATATTCTCTGTTTCCTAAAGTATTCATATACTCTTTTCCTAAAGTATTCATGTACTCTGTTTCATAAAGTTTTCATGTACTCTGTTTCGTAAAGTATTCATGTACTCTGTTTCCTAAAGTATTCATGTACTCTTTTCCTAAAGTATTTTATGTACTCTGTTTCCTAAAGTATTCATGTTTTCTGTTTCCTAGAGTATTCATGTACTCTGTTTCCTAAAGTATTCATGTACTCTTTTCCTAAAGTATTCATGTACTCTGTTTCCTAAAGTATTCATGTTTTCTGTTTCCTAAAGTATTCATGTACTCTGTTTCCTAAAGTATTCATGTTTTCTGTTTCCTAAATTATTCATGTACTCTGTTTCCTATAAAAGTATTCATATTCTCTGTTTCCTAAAGTATTCATGTACTCTGTTTCGTAAAGTATTCATGTACTCTGTTTCCTAAAGTATTCATGTACTCTTTTCCTAAAGTATTTTATGTACTCTGTTTCCTAAAGTATTCATGTTTTCTGTTTCCTAGAGTATTCATGTACTCTGTTTCCTAAAGTATTCATGTACTCTTTTCCTAAAGTATTCATGTACTCTGTTTCCTATAAAGTATTCATATTCTCTGTTTCCTAAAGTATTCATATACTCTTTTCCTAAAGTATTCATGTACTCTGTTTCATAAAGTTTTCATGTACTCTGTTTCGTAAAGTATTCATGTACTCTGTTTCCTAAAGTATTCATGTACTCTTTTCCTAAAGTATTTTATGTACTCTGTTTCCTAAAGTATTCATGTTTTCTGTTTCCTAGAGTATTCATGTACTCTGTTTCCTAAACTATTCATGTACTCTTTTCCTAAAGTATTCATGTACTCTGTTTCCTAAAGTATTCATGTTTTCTGTTTCCTAAAGTATTCATGTACTCTGTTTCCTAAAGTATTCATGTTTTCTGTTTCCTAAATTATTCATGTACTCTGTTTCCTATAAAAGTATTCATATTCTCTGTTTCCTAAAGTATTCATGTACTCTGCTTCCTAAAGTATTCATGTTCTCTGTTTCATAAAGTATTCATGTTCTCTGTTTCCTAAAGTATTCATGTTCTCTGTTTCCTGAGGTATTTTAATCATCTGTTTCCTATTCATGTTTTGTGTTAATCGTGTTTTCAAATACGCTCAACTTTGTCTTTAAAGTATTCATGTTCTTTGTTTCCAAAGGTATTCATTTGTTGTACTAATGTTTCGTCTTCTGTGTATCTATGATATTTGATGATTCAATATCATCGACTTTCGAAAGTTTCCATGTTTTTGTAGCCAAAGTTGCCAATTTTTATAAAGCAATTTCATTGTGCTTTCAAAGATAATATCGTATCTCACGGATTCTTGCGTGCATGAGCGTTTAAAAATACACACTTTTCACAGCATATATTCCTGTACAGGTGTCTAATATTTCTTATCGGAAAGAAGTTTTCTTCTTACTAATTCGGTCATTCAAATACTTTTTTGGCTTTTTAAATGATTTGCCAAACTAAATGGGGCAAATGACGTTGCGAGGAAGTTCGTGTTGGAACTCGTTGAAAGTCTTTGTCTTAAACACTTTTATTTATGCATAGTTACTTGGAAGGAATATTTTAGGCATTTAATGATTCCAATTGTTACATCGACCAGCATTTTTTGTTTGTAAATAAAACCGCCGAAACGAAGAAGTCGCTTCCTCTTTCGATGTTTAATTATTGTATTTCCTTATCATCCTAACATATCGTTGATGGCAGTCTTTCGATGCTCGTACCTGACGCGTTTTAAATTACCTGCGTTATCTAATCCACAAGACTGTGTTGTTGTCTGAATTGTTTAACAAGTAAACAAATTTTATCGTTTATAACGTGAAGAAATTGTCTATGCTTGGTCGCTGTAAGGTTTAATGTTGTGTCGAAATATGGCTTAAAGAAACGTCTGGGAAAGACATAAACGGCAATTTCGTGAAATGAAAATATTCACACGGAGGATTTTTAGCGAGTTTTCTCTTGTCGTTGTGGTTGCGATGTTTATTGTAGGAATTTCACAAGCGAAACACTGTAGTATTTTTGATCAACTCGAGTCAAAGAAGTGCACAAAATATTGTTGTGGGGATTGGAGCATTCTTTTTGCCATGAAACGTGTGAAGGATTCTCCTGTAGAACGAACAGTGAATGTGGCAGTGGATGTTGTAATGAGGGAAAATGCCGTAAAAATTGTGCTCCAGTGCGCTTGATTATCGGTGTGACAATTACTTTCGTCGTAACATTGACTTTGTTGGTTGTTTTAATGCTCGTTCGCTGTTATCTCCGTAAGAAAAATCCTCCACAAACAAATAACGTGGCTCGTAGTCATTTTGTAGACATGGGCGAACCTTATTGGCGTGTTCGTACGCTTAACTCAACTACGCCTCGACCTTCCATGCAAATCTCGTCTTCTCCTCGACCGTCCATACAAATCTCATCTTCTCCTCGACCGTCCATGCAAACCTCAAATTCTCCTCGACCGTCAATACAAACCTCAACCAGCACGACTGAAACTGACTGCGACGTGGAAAAGCCTTCTTCCGAATCTTGATTTTTTATGGTAGAATTAATGCTTACAATACGAAGCTCATTTGTATTGACAAAGCTTGTTTACTTCGTTATAAATTAAGCTAATATCTTTGAAACGAAGAGACGGTTAATCGGTTGCTTGAGTATACAAGTGCTCAATTATATTATATATATACGCTAAATCGCACATTAGTCTATTGAAATTATCACCTGATGATTGCTATCAGTAAAAAAATTAGTGGCATTTAGTGAAATTTCATGATGGGGAAATTACGTGAAGTACATTTCATTTTTTATCTTAAGCTCTTAAGAAGATCGTGGTAATCTTCAAGTGTGCTTTCAACAAAAAAACGCGAACAGTTTCGGCTGGGCAACATTTGGCTTTCGAAATAAGATTTCTGCAGGATATCAATGGCAATCGAACTGTAACAATCTAGGAAATTATCAAACTGTTATTTCAAGAGAGTTTGTTCTGTTCTCACGGAATGTTGTTCCTGTCGCCCACACGGGCCTACTAGTATTTCGTCATCTTGAAAAATATATCGTAATCAAAAATAAAATAATATATACATAAGGTAATCTTTCTAGTAATTTATTGTCCTATCTTTTATATAATGAGTGGTAAAAATTTTATCTGATTCCTGGCGGACGAGAGACGTAAACGATTCTGTTTTATTTAATCTTGAAGAATAACAGCAACTTTACGAAGTTAGTTGCATAATTAGCATATCGGACTCCAGTTAAAATAAGTATGATTTCGATTAAACTTTTCATCGACCTGATAGCGGTTATGCCTGATGTGAAAGTTGACAGAAATAAAATTTTGCAATGCAATTTTCTTCCTCTTCAAACGATCTGTTTTGCTAGTGGGGCTATCTCCAGGAGACCGAGTAATTTGGGCTTCGTGTGATAAAGAATGCTTACTTGGCATTGTTGGAGGCCACAGTATTGCCATAGTTACCTATCGTGTTGTAATCACACCCATTGGATAATTGAAAAAGTTTTGTAGCTAAATGAAAGAAGTTGTTTTGGTCTTACATCGGACGTGTTGTTATTAAATCGCGATAAATACAGGGGCGTAAATCCTGGGGGAGTATCGAAGGGTGGATCACTAGCGATGGCCAAAAATTTACGGGTAGCATCTTGTTAGGCAAAACTTAGTATTCGTCGAGTAAAATTCAGAAAGTGTTCGAAGAGAAGTGAAGCTCTCTGAAATGTGAACGTGAAACTTTCTCACAAAGCTGTCACTCCTTTCTTGTTTATTCTTGGAGCAATATGAACGATCAACGTAATAATATATTACGAAACTTTTGAAAAAATCTCATGACTGCGAATTGGATGTTTATTGATTCAGACTGACCTCAAAAAAGTTGTTAACTTCTAAATTAATTTTTACGTAAAATATTTTCGGAAATATTACAGATCAAACGCACCCTGGAATAATACTTTCAACAGCAGAAATTATATCTTAAATTATGCGTTGTTAGTTTTTTTGCGAAGTATGGCATGTATAAAAAATTGCGCAGTTACCAAAAAGTATATCGCAATATAAACTGAAATAATTTCCACTGATGTATTCCTGCGTTCCAGTCCTCCAGTGCTCGCTGTTTTTCCCCAAATCTGTATCATCTGTATTTGAGCCGTTATAATTTTTGAAGTACGCATTTCGCCAATTCACAAGCTGTTAAATAACTGAAGACGACAAATGTCGTCAAAATCACCCCGCTCGTGTTACCACCCTCGATAATTGTGACACACATAAAAGAGTAAATCGGGTGAGGGAAATGCACGTTGCCTACGCTTGTAACCAAGGATACTTTACTACACAGTGATACAATAGTAATATTAATAAGTTGACTGTTTATATTGAAGCCAAGCTGGCCGAGATAGCCCGTTAAGTGAGATCTCCCTACGTCAGGGCATTGGGGGCAAGTGCCCCCCCCTTTTTGCAACAGGGAAAATGTGCCCTTTTTCATGGTATAGAAATGCCCTTGTTTTAGGTAAAATTGGACTGAAGAAGTTTTTCTTAGATACAAGTAGCCCCGAGAGTAGAACAAAGTCTGTCGGCATCATGCGAAATCAGCTATAGCTTAGTTTTTGATTTTGATTACCCAGATGGATCAAAAATCGCGTTTGTCGATTGAGGTTGTCTTCGTTTGTCAACTGTTACTTGCATAAATGCCTTGAAGACAAACTTGCAGCGTCAACGAGACAACTTCTCTTTGTTTTACGACCAAGTAGTTGCTTCAAGCAAGGCTATCAACTTTGCAGGCGATCCAACACAACCAAGACCGAAGAAAGTTCCGTGACGACTTTAACACGGAGATGGCGAGCAACGCCCACCGTGCCCAGTATGTTGATGCAATTGATGCGTGCTTGGCTTCATTACTGGAGCGCTTCGATCAAAAAGCATATTCTGTATTGATGAACATCGAAACCGTGCTCATTAATGCAGCAAACGGGCGTAAGTTTGAGTTGAATGATGAAGTTGAACACCTTTACGAAAATGACTTCGACTTTGACCAGCTGAAGGCGGAGTTAAAGCTTCTTGAAGGAATGATCTCGCAGCGACTTTCAGAAGTAAAGAAGGTGACATCAATTGACACCATAACATCAATATTCTGAACCGAAGAAAATAACTCATCGCAGATTGTCATGGTAATGTCTAATGTTGTCCGACTCTTGCAGATTTACCTTCTTGCTCCAATGAGCGCAGCCTCTGGAGAACGATCTTTTTCATGCCAGCGGCTTGTCAAGACACATCTCAGGAGCCATTGGCAGCACGCTACAATAATCTTATTGCTATTCATGTAAACAAGGCCAAACCTGACGAACTGGACTTACGTTTAATAGCTAAGGACTTTGTTCTGAAAAACGAACGTAGGGTTAGATTTTTTGGGAAATTTTAATGAGATCGCATTACTTAATAAAATTGTTCATGTAGTCATCTTAGTTCAATTTGTTAGCACGCACGCCGAGCAGTAGAGAATACGCATAGCATTCTAAGAATGTCTACCAATATTTTGCAGACTTTGAAACTTAATCATGATTCATGCAACAATATTACTTCATGAAACATGAAGTAATATACTAAAACAGTAAGCTGCAAACTCACATGCCCTTTTCGGTCAGTGCCCCCACTTTGAGATATTTCCGCTGCCCCTGCCCTACGTAGTAGGTATTATATTAAAAAAATCTCTTTGCATTTATATGGCGACACGGGGAATGGTTCAAGAGTGAACTTTGCTGCGATACAAAGATGATGGAGCATTTGATTGATAATCTGTCTGATTATAAGTAGAAGATGCTTTATAAAAATCTTTATTTCGACCGCGAAAAACGTCTCGGCAAGCCAGATGAACGTCATATAAACACATCAAAAATTCATCTCGCTTACCGGTCTATCCCAGAGCCATGTATTTTCAAACGAGTTTGGATACGTGTTTATTCCAAAGCCATCATCAGAGAATGTATATAATATATTAATCCTAACACGGTTTTAATATGCACATAAAAAACATGTGACTTGGACGAGATTTGAACTCGCACCTTCGGGATACTAGTCCGCCGCTCTACCTGTTGAGCTACCAAGTGGGCTAGTATCCCGAAGGTGCGAGTTCAAATCTCGTCCAAGTCACGTGTTTTACATGTGCATATTAAAACCGTGTTAGGATTAATATATTATATGGATAGGTGTTGTTCTCCACATTTTGCATTATGATCATTGTGATTGGGTAGATATGGTCACATGGGCATCCAGCCGCTATTTTTGTTCCAAAAGCGCAAATTATAACCATTTCTTACATAGAAAATAAATTATAAAAAAATGCGTGCAATGATTTTATGTTGCGTTGTAATAGTACCAGTCAAAACGATGAATAATAGAAAGATACGCGCTCCCTTGTGGCAAAACAGTATTAATGGCGTATACGTAAATTACATCCACTGCATTAAATAAATTCTTTTCTATCATGACATCTATAAACAACTGAATTCTAAATGTAGGGATCGCTGTCTATTCATCAATAAGAAAACTCAACAGAAATTTGTCTTTCCACCATTTAATGCTTTCTATTTACTGGCTTTTGGAACAAAAATGGCGGACGCAAAGGCAATTTTACTTCCGATTCTGGGCTATCCCGCTAGTTGGCCAGCCCGGTTCCATATAAACAGCTCCTAACCTTGTTGCGAGTAATGTTTTTAGTGAAACACCTTAATCGTGTTTTTCATTTCTCAACTTTATAAGCATATCGTGTAAAATAGTATCTGTAAACCTTCTACTCACTGTCCTCCTAAATGCCATGAGCAGCAAACGTCCAAGCCAATCACAGAGTCCCGGGCCTGTGACAGGTATAGCCAGTTTTAAAGGTGAAAGGTCTACTTATTTTGTCCTTTGGTCTTCTTTCCTCAACATGCCATTGAATGATTATTGATGAAAATGTTAAAAACAGTTTTGCTAACAACAATCCGATTTTGCGACGTTCTTTTGTCCCCACACACACACACACACTTTTCAAACCTTTCCGCGGCCCCTGTCAAGATGTCTTGTTTTTTCGGAATGTGTTTTTTACTATATTGAGTTTACAAGATAATGTTTTTTGGAGTGTGTCTTATCATTTGTTTTTTGAAATTGTCGGCTGGAAAAGGACTGTTTTATAACTTTTACATGATATGCGTATTCATTTGAGAAATGAAAAACATGATTTAGATGTTTCACGAAAAACAACACTAGCAATAAATATAGTCAACTATTATTATTGCTATTATTGCTATTATATTTCTGAATAGCGAGTGTGTGGCATTATTAAATTGACAGTGATACAACATTTACATATCGATCGTGTAACACGTTTCACGCGTAGTTTGCGTGACAAGGTTTTGTTGGAAATGTGACAAGATGGCGACCAAAACATTGCGAGAAAGCAGTTTCATCGATCCAACTGTCGTTTATACGTCTATACCTGACGCAATTCTGGAGGATTTATGCAGGTATATGATTAAAAAAGTCCTTGAAGTGCTAAAGGAGAATCAAGTAATTTCTGAAACGTTTGTTTTTGCCTGTTTTGATATCTGTCAAAAATGTTATAGTTTTTGATTACAATCATTTCTCATTTTTTCAGCCGCTTTCTCATAAACTTGCCTTCGGAAGATAAGGATGACATGGTTCGTGTTTTCTTTCAAATTGAACAAGCTCATTGGTATTACATCGACTTCTACTGCCAAGAACAAAATTTACCATCGTATGGATTAAAAGAATTCTCTAAAATAAGTATCCTCTATCTTGCTTGAAAGGCCTGTATGTGTGGTTCTGTCACTGTGGTTAGTTTGATTCACAATGTATGGTGCCATGTTTGTGAGCCTGTATGTGTGGTTCTGTCACTGTGGTTAGTTTGATTCACAATGTATGGTGCCGTGTTTGTGGGCTTGTATGTGTGGTTCTGTCACTGTGGTTAGTTTGGTTCACAATGTATGGTGCCGTGTTTGTAGGCCTGTATGTGTGGTTCTATCACTGTGGTTAGTTTGGTTCACAATGTATGGTGCCATGTTTGTAGGCCTGTATGTGTGGTTCTGTCACTGTGGTTAGTTTGGTTCACAATGTATGGTGCCATGTTTGTAGGCCTGTATGTGTGGTTCTATCACTGTGGTTAGTTTGGTTCACAATGTATGGTGCCATGTTTATAGGCCTGTATGTGTGGTTCTGTCACTGTGGTTAGTTTGGCTCACAATGTATGGTGCCATGTTTGTAGGCCTGTATGTGTGGTTCTGTCACTGTGGTTAGTTTGGCTCACAATGTATGGTGCCATGTTTGTAGGCCTGTATGTGTGGTTCTGTCACTGTGGTTAGTTTGGTTCACAATGTATGGTGCCGTGTTTGTAGGCCTGTATGTGTGGTTCTATCACTGTGGTTAGTTTGGTTCACAATGTATGGTGCCATGTTTGTAGGCCTGTATGTGTGGTTCTGTCACTGTGGTTAGTTTGGTTCACAATGTATGGTGCCATGTTTATAGGCCTGTATGTGTGGTTCTGTCACTGTGGTTAGTTTGGCTCACAATGTATGGTGCCATGTTTGTAGGTCTGTATGTGTGGTTCTGTCACTGTGGTTAGTTTGGCTCACAATGTATGGTGCCGTGTGCCTGTATGTGTGGTTCTGTCACTGTGGTTAGTTTGGTTCACAATGTATGGTGCCGTGTTTGTAGGCCTGTATGTGTGGTTCTGTATCACTGTATGGTTAGTTTAGTTTGGTTCACAATGTATGGTGCCATGTTTGTAGGCCTGTATGTGTGGTTCTGTCACTGTGGTTAGTTTGGCTCACAATGTATGGTGCCATGTTTGTAGGTCTGTATGTGTGGTTCTGTCACTGTGGTTAGTTTGGCTCACAATGTATGGTGCCGTTTGTAGGCCTGTATGTGTGGTTCTGTCACTGTGGTTAGTTTGGTTCACAATGTATGGTGCCGTGTGTAGGCCTGTATGTGTGGTTCTATCACTGTGGTTAGTTTGGTTCACAATGTATGGTGCCATGTTTGTAGGCCTGTATGTGTGGTTCTGTCACTGTGGTTAGTTTGGTTCACAAAGTATGGTGCCGTGTTTGTTTAGGTTTAAGTGAGTACTGATCTGCACCATATTATACCTAAATATGTTTGTTTGTAATATGTTCAATTGAAAGCAATCCTCTATACTATGTTATATTGTAGTTTAAGTGAAAGCACTGTTTTATCCTGCCTGTTTTGGAGCATCTTCAGTCTTTCCTTAACGTCTGGCATTCTTTGAGAAATTTCCTTTTCTCAACAAGAGCAATCAAACCATCGATAAACTAATGAACACATGGAAAAAATACAAGTTCAGTGTCCCTGTTTATGGAGCCATTTTGTTGAATTCGGAACTGGACAAGGTCAGAGAATTGGCTTTTTTTCCACAAACAAAACATGAAATGCATCCCCACTTAGTTCCAATGTCTTAAACTAACTTGGATAAATTATGAAAGACATGATGGCCACCAGCATTAGCATATCAGACAGGCTTAGAGGGGATTGAAGGGTACCCCTAATACCAGACTTTTTTGGCAGACTAGTCCGGTAAGGCGATATCTTTGTTTGTTTGAACAAAAGTGAATGAAGTCATTGAACATTGAACATGTTGTGACTACCCCTCCCCACTGAAAAGAAAAATCAACCTTAGACTCATGTTAAAACTAAAGTATAAATCTTATTTGAAATGCAATATGTTCTTTTGCTATGTCATTTCAATTATATCAAACATCCCCTCATAACACCACAACAAGTTTCGATGAAATTGGATTTTTCCTTTTCTTTTCAGTGTGTCCTAGTTCAAGCCTTTACAAACAAACCAACTTGGGGTTTTCCTCGTGGCAAATTGAATAAAGAGGAATCTGCTTATGAATGCTCTATAAGAGAGGTGATGTATTAAGTTTTTCTATTCCCTATGACATCAGAAAAGCCTAAGGAATTTGCTATTCCTCTTGAGCAAAATGAGGAATTTTCGTTTTTGATTTCTCACAAAATTATTTGGATGGGATGACGAAATATTTGGCTAGTTTAGTGATATGTCTCTCTGTGATTGTTACTTGCTACAAATGAAACAATTTCATATTTTTGGAGAGTTTTCATAAACCTGATGCATGCGCAGTTTTACTCTTGCTGTGTGCGTGTTTTATTCAATCCTTCTCAGATAATCCAGAATCTCTTAATAGTCTTTGTGATCCAATCCAGAAACCTGCAATCCATGTTACTGAATCAAGAATCCAATGAGTTTAATCCAAAAGCGTCTAGGATTATCCAATTGCAAAACCAGCCCTTTATTTTTATAGTGCAAATATTTGTGTATTCAATCACTGGAAACGCAAAGAATGGAAATAATTTTGTAAAGTGATGAATAATAATTTGATGAAAAATTTGCCTTGTAGGAGGTAAAGGCCCGTTCACACGATCCGATTTTCCGACTTTTGGTTTCTTGTTCATTAGGTCCGATAGTTTCGATGATATTTTTATTCGTTTAGATATTTATAGTCTCGAAACCAGCCATTTATGTTATCGAGTATATTCGTCGATATATTTGCGTATTTTTCTACTTGAAATCAAGTCTTTTTCAAATCTAATTTCTCGCGTTAGCTCAAATTTGGGAAGTATAGAGAGTTAAAGGCTTGAAACTAGTCGGCTTCCTTTGATGTTGTCGAATGAAAATAGAGTAAGTTCTATTTCCATTCGATTTTTGAGACTGTCGGAGGCTCACTTTATACGTGTTAACACGATCCGCTTTTTGGGATCCGACAATATCGGATACGACAAATCGGATCCTGTGAACGGGCCTTTAAAAGATGGGGCAAGAATTGGCCTAGCCAGACCGCAATTTCGTTCTGGAGGAATGAATAATACTAATGATTAGCATGAAGAAATTGCTGACTGGCTACGCTACTGGGGTAGGAATTGCCGCTGGGGGTATCTTGCATTGGCTATCAAGTGTAGACACTTCAAAATGGACTCTTCTAAACTGAAACGTTTTGGCATCTGAGTTCACGTAGCAATTTCTTCCTATAGTTATCATGTCAAAACATTGAAACATGTTTTTAACATTTCTGGTCCAACATGACTGACGCCATTATTCCAATGTGCGCCAACGTCTTCCTATTCATCCATTTAAAGGTTTTGGAAGAAACGGGTTTTAACATCCAACCGTTTGCGAACAAAGACGATTATATCGAGAGTTCTCTTCACGATCACCTGGTAATGGATCTTGTCATTTGAATCGTAATTTTTTTTGTATTTCACGGGATCTTTGATATTTGATACAGTGAAGTATTAGCTTTCGGGGTTCCCGTTATTTTTTTTTGCGAATAAATAAGTATTTTCCTTGATATTTGATATTTTTTTATATTATGTACAATTTAGGTGCGTTTATACATCGTTCAAAACGTTCCCATTGATACAGAATTCAAGACAAGAACACGAGGAGAAATAAAGGTTTTGATTATGATTATTGTATGTTTAGCTTTTTATATTTAATTGTTTGAACCTGGGAGTATCATTATATGTTTGTATTTGGGAGCCACTTTCTCTCTTGTTTTGTAAGAAATTGGTTCTGAAAAGTTTTTCCGAGGCGGAGTTTTTCTGAGAATGACTGTTGGTGTTGATGTTGAATGCTGAGGCGGATCAATGCTCAATTATCGGGAGGGGTTTGCAGATTTTTCAAGGGGGGTGCATGGTTATCCTAGCTAAAGTTTGCAAATTTTCAAGTTATTGTGAAGGTGTACAGAACCTTGCGTGATGAAGGTGTTTTTCCTTTCTAAGAAATCTTTGTATGTTTTTTCTTAACGAATGCAGCGTTTGGTAATTTATTTCAATTTAACTGTTTCAATGAAAATCGTGTGTGGTAATATTCAGTTGCAAATGGTGGAAGTATAAAATATGTAATTGCTTTGTAAACAATTACATATGTTGTAACTGTACAATTTCATTGCCTCTAATACTGTTGTATTAATCGTCCACATTACGTAATACCATTTCAGAATTTGTCTTGGGTGAGGGGAGGGTGCGTACCCGTTTTGATTGACGCTTGATCGGCTTCGACATCCATAGCGTTGGACCTTGTGAATGACCACCGCTAAGGTAGTCGTATCAACACCAACGCCATGGTTTTTGTTGTCATTGATGAATCAATTTTGGTTTGTTTTACCTTTCATTAGGATATTCAATGGTTTAACATCAAAGATCTACCAGTTCATAAGAAAGATTCGCGAATGAAGGATACGATTGGTCTTAGTGCTAATAATTTTTTCATGGTGACACCGTTTATGAAGTAAGAATCGATCAAATTGTATTTGGTTTTAAGAACTCGCAACATTCACATGGTTTTGCACTACGCATGCGTCAAAGCGACTTTTTACAGAAATGATTCGCCTAGTGGGGACTTCTTGATTCTTACCAAACAAAACATAGATATTTGACGTTGAGTGCGTTTTAGTGTTTCAAACTTTTTTGTCATCCACGGCTCGTAAGAAGTTTTCAAAACTTTCTACTACAAATTTCTCACAACGAAAGTCAACAATGAAATCTCACATGTGGTAATATATTACGTCAATCTTGTTTTATTTTTTGCGTTGCTAGTGACATTCACGCGTGCAATAATAGAGAAAGATTTTGATTGGTTCAATGATTTCGTGCAAGTCACGCGCGATATGTGAAATGTCGCGACATGACAGAAACAACGCATTTTTCAACTCATGATATCTTCGGCAACTGAAGCGATTACACTTAATTAAAACTTTATTTTTTTGTTCGAATTCATTCGCGAAATTGATTTCCGAAGTCTTCCTGTTGCATTAACTGTGATGCATAGGAGGTTCTAGAAGATTTTGCACATTTATTTTTTTATACAATTTAATGAAAATGTCTCAAAGTTTTTATACGGGAAATATTTCTCAAGCATGTTCCCTGTTCAACGATAGAGAATTGAAAAAATGGATAAGCGAGAAACGATCAATGGTCTCCCTTGAAGAAGAGACAAGGAATTCGCATCCACAAGCTCAACTTCAACGTTTGCTACAGTCGGAAGAGGCCCGCTTGAGTATCGAAAACACACGTGTCAATGAAGAAAGACGCAAAGAAGAAGCACAAAAGAAATTCCTTCACCAAATGGCCGTATATCATCCGTTATCACCGATCGAAAATCGCAAGTCAGTCAAAGGTAAGCGGCTTTTGTCATTATTTTTTCATTGTTCGACAGTGCAATCACCCAAATGGCGCGGGATCTTAGTTGTCCCAAAAATTCGACAAAAAACATTTTCCAAAAACTGGGCAAAGTATATTTTCCAAAACAGTCTTTCAAAAGTAGGGCGAAAGTGTACATATTTTGATGGTAAACATACATTTACACGTTTTCATGGATTTCAGCTGGTTTTGGTAAAACGGCGCGCAAACAGGCTAAATTTCCATCGGAACATCCAGATACAAGACAGACAAGTGGTCCAGTGTCTTTCAAAATACTGAAAAGATCGGAAACAGGTCGTCGCAACAGCCCGGACGGCAGGCGAGATCTATCGAGGTCGTCGTTGAGTCCTTCGGCAATCCAGGAATCACAACTCAGTCACACAAGAACTTTATCACCTTCGAAGAATTCAGCGTTCACGCGTGTTTCGCGCACGAAAAACGCGCGACCTTCGAGACAAAACAATTTGCTTTTTTCTAAAAGCTCTGCAATCTTTAAGGGCTTCAGGATTGCTCCTTCGGCATGGCTAAATTTTCGATTTGATAAAAAGCTGTTTTTTGAAGCTTTGAAAAATTAATCGTCGCGACTCTTCGTATCAATTTTTATAAATAATGGTATGTTTTTAAACTAGCATAAAAATAAGTCAGCCATGATTTTAGATACTGTACATTTTGATTGTAGATACGTTTTTTTTAATTTTCTCATTATATTTTTATAACAGTTTTTTCAATAGAAACTTATTCTTTGATAATTCTTTTTTCCCATTTTGAAAAGTGTGATACCTCCGAAAAGCTTTAACCTACGTTTTCCTAAGCCTAATCAATCTTTGTTTGTTTTGACTTTTAAGACAATTTGAGATTGTTTGTTATTAAACTTTCTTCCTTACCTTTAATTCCTTCGAATTACTCCATCTCTCGCAATTGGAGATGATTAAAATCATGACGTCATAGGGCCCCGGAAGGATATTTTTACCCTTGCATCCACAATATCTCACGGCGGCCACAGCCCCGTCTTTGAATAATTTAATGGAGATAGAATTTATGCTATTTTTTGCTATTAACGACAACGCATTAATTAAAAAAAACTTTATTTTCCACGGGTCCAACAAAATATCAAGGAAATTGTGTATTAATTCAGTTCGGTAAAAGTTCATTTGGAACATTTGAAACTATTTTAATATGAAAGTTGTAATCATTTAAATGAAAAAAGTTTTGCGCCGCAGAAGTGTCCTAACTGCTTGCACTTCCCGCAAAGATGTTGTGGGTGTTTTATGCTCGGATCGCCAACGTCCAAACCTTCTGGTTTTTCCAGCGGTCTTCTTGTTGTTGCAAAAACGTTGGCGCCACAGTTTTGACATTCCTGTCCGGCGTTTGCCCAGCTGTGTGCACTCATCCAAGACCGGCCACATTCCTGGCAATGGTATTCTCCAAAACACCTTTTGTCCTGAGATTTAGACTGAAAAAGAACCGACAAAAGAATATCTTTAATTTGAGTGACAATCGTACAGCGTAGTGAGGAACCCATTCTACGTGCGTCATAAAATATCAACAACATAACGCATGCGCTGATTGTCTGTAGCTGAGTTTGCATCAGCCTGTGCAAACCGATCTCAGCTCAATCAAAGAGAATTTGCAAATCAATCATGAATATATGTTCGAAGAAAAATTAAAATATTTGTTTTTATTCAATCTGTATTGCATTGCTGTTATTTTATAAAGGAAATAAGAGATGTTTTTCTTGTGTGCTCAGGCTCATGCTTTGGTCTTAAACTTTGGTCTCGTGTTTGTACTGATCTACTCTCGAGTTTTCCAAACGGTCTCCTCGGCTTGCACAACCCTTTGCAAACACAGTAAATGTCTATTACTTATTAACTTCTGTTACATTGTACTAAGTATTTTGCTTGAAATGTTCAAACTATACCGCATTTTTTTCTAAAGAACCGACTTCTTCAACAGATGTTGATCATCGGATTATTCGCCACTAGTGTTTAGTGTTTTCATCATTGATGTAATTTCCAAATCCCAAGTCCTTTTATACTCCAGTCTATGGCTTCTCTCGGGATTATTCGACTATTTAAAACTTGTGTATAATTAATCATCTCCTCTTTACCGAACGCGACACATGAATTTCAGTGTTTTTCGGAAGACGTGTCAATTGAATATCTGCGCCCCTACTCAAGTTACAGAAAGCACAGAACTTTCTAAGAAAATAAATCTTTTCGAAGAATAGAGGAAGTCTTCCTATGTCAGCTTGTAACCGAAAGTAGATACAAAAATGATTTTTTCGAAGAAAATTTAATGATTTCGTTCATGTTTAATTGTTAACGAACATTCTTGCTGCATTTTATTGCCGACTGCAAAATAAAGTTAACTTTCTTCTCGAAAAAAAATTCCTCTCAAGCTTTGTTCATATTATGCTGTTAATATTGAGGCATTTGCCCGAGAACAATTAAACGTGAGTATGACAATGTAGTTCTGTTACTCTACCTTGTTGTACGGCGTTTGTTTTCGTCGGGTGTAATTTTTCACCTTCATTATTGCTTGTTATAGCTTGTATGGTATCTGCTCGTCCAGAGTGTGACTGTAACTAGCATTAGCTATTACGCAAACCTGCTTTATAACCATGCAGTAATTTGATATCGAAATTTTAGACCTAAAATAATTCGCTCCTGTGCCGGGTTTTCTGATTGGCCTTTTCGAGGCCAAATTACTCGAATTTGGCTTCTTTTTTTACTTGCTTAGCCTCGAAAAACATTGGCTTTTCTTTCCTATTTTAGTCTCATTGATATAATGGAATCAATTGCACGAGAAATGACGAAACAGAGAAACATGCTATTACTGTTCGGATCGTAAACTTTATTATTTAAATAACGCAGTTTGAACATAATTACAAAATTTGAACTAATTTCATAAAAGATAAACACGTAAAACAGCGAAAAGGTATTTATTCTGTCGCTAGTGCCAGGCTCTTTGCTGCTGCCGAATGGAGGCGTCTTATGATCACTGCATATGATATGCACATTATTGTTTTTTTAATAGTGTGTATTCTGCATAGTTATTACCTCGTGAATTCGGCTACTTTTTATAAAGTTTGGCCTGATTTTATACGGTGTTTGGCTCCGAGCATGCGCTGAAACCTGTGAATCCAGCTCCATGGCATTCATCAGCCGTGGTCTGCTGTTGAAACTCGAGTCCTTATATACTCCGGTTACTCAGGAGTAAGAAAGGAATATTATTTCAGATTTATTAAGAAAAACCCCATAGTTATGGGCTGCCAATGCTATTACGTGCATAGTTAATTGTACGTCGCTTTCTTTATTGGTCGCGAGAAAATGAAGAATCTAAATACCGAACTTCTATTTGAATGTGTTTGCATATTAAAGATTGACATTAAAAACGAGCCTCAGAAGAATCAGTGAGAAGACTAGTGGTTATCTTCTACACATTCACTTACGAATAAAAATTCAACTTCGTACCCAGGCTTTGTCAATAAGGTTGTTCCTGTTTGGTGGAATAAGGACCTGGGAACGAAAGTACCAATATTTCCAACATGGCGGTGACGTTGTATGCTTTTCTTGAAGCGATGTTGCTTCTCGTTAACGCAGTTGCCATTCTAAACGAGGAAAGATTCTTATCAAAAGTAAGTTGAAAACCTCTCTTGTCTATATTTCTTCCCTATTCAATTGCTCTGTTTCAAGCAGTCATACAAGCTATATTTATAAAAATCCGAATAGCGACTAATCGAATTTATGAATCAATGAACATATTGTTTGTTATCTCGTTTTGAAGTTGGCTGGGCCCGTGACCAGATAAACCAGTCTCAAGGATTCGGTCATGAAGAAAAGGGAATCAAACAACAGATAGCAAATTTAGTGCATGCCGTGAGAACTGTTATGAGAGGTAAGTGAAAGGCTGAGAGCAAAATGCCATTAATACTAATTGGTTCTTCTGCTTTTTGTTTCACTTACAGCTTTACTCCCAGACTGTCGTAGGGTTCGCAGCTCCGACTCTATTCCACCAAAAATTCATAATCTTTATCATGTCTAGTGTTGATCTTTTCTCAATTATATGATTTTCTCTATAAGTTTGAAAATTTGTAATCCAGGCATTGAATATATAAAAGATAAAACGTTTCTCCGGATTTTTTAAATGATTTTTTATTGAGCTTTCGACTCGTTGCTTCGAGCCTTCATCAGAATGAAAAATATTATTTACACGTGCTTTTTAGCTTGGAGACGTTTAGAGCGTCTGTAGGAAGTGAAGCTGCTCCAATGTTGATGACTCTTTACGTGCGAATAATTCCCATTTTCTTGTTCTTCTGAGAATATCTATCCCATATGTCGATTTTATAAGTTTGAAAATTTGTAATCCAGGCATTGAATATATAAAAGATAAAACGTTTCTCCGGATTTTTAAATGATTTTTATTGAGCTTTCGACTCGTTGCTTCGAGCCTTCATCAGAATGAAAAATATTTATTTACACGTGCTTTTTAGCTTGGAGACGTTTAGAGCGTCTGTAGGAAGTGAAGCTGCTCCAATGTTGATGACTCTTTACGTGCGAATAATTCCCATTTTCTTGTTCTTCTGAGAATATCTATCCCATATGTCGATTTTATAAGTTTGAAAATTTGTAATCCAGGCATTGAATATATAAAAGATAAAACGTTTCTCCGGATTTTTTAAATGATTTTTTATTGAGCTTTCGACTCGTTGCTTCGAGCCTTCATCAGAATGAAAAATATTATTTACACGTGCTTTTTAGCTTGGAGACGTTTAGAGCGTCTGTAGGAAGTGAAGCTGCTCCAATGTTGATGACTCTTTACGTGCGAATAATTCCCATTTTCTTGTTCTTCTGAGAATATCTATCCCATATGTCGATTTTATAAGTTTGAAAATTTGTAATCCAGGCATTGAATATATAAAAGATAAAACGTTTCTCCGGATTTTTTAAATGATTTTTTATTGAGCTTTCGACTCGTTGCTTCGAGCCTTCATCAGAATGAAAAATATTATTTACACGTGCTTTTTAGCTTGGAGACGTTTAGAGCGTCTGTAGGAAGTGAAGCTGCTCCAATGTTGATTTTCTCTATGGATCCATTCCATCTGACCATCTCTACCTTGGTCTGCCTGTCCTTGGTTCCCTCTATCTTCAGCTCCATAATATTTTAATTGTTTATCCTTGGTTTCATGTTTATTTTAAATCAAAACCTGCTTTGCTTCTCCTTATATTTTTCACTGAAACCATCAAAATGTGCAACAGCAGATTTTCCACTGACGAAATTCATTGAACTATAAATTACATTGCAAGTGTACAGCTTGTGGTTTGATTACATTATTCAAGTTAGTTTTCCATCCAAAATGAATTGAAATTTCATAAGATGAATGTTGAAAGTGGGTTTCTCTATAGACCATAGAAAAGACCAACATAGTCACTTGTGATACCCAGGGAGAATGCGGTCGTGTGCTGCATCCCTTACTCAAACGCTTGGTTAAGCAGACTATATTTGCTTGGGTAAACAGCTCATGCTCGGATTATTTTTCTAATACACATTACACATTTAATAAATACGACAAGTTTTTTTTAAAATTCGTAAACATGTTTCAACATCTCATGATGCAATCTTCAGTATAATATAGAATATTATGTATGTATAAATAAATATGTATTGTAGGAATATGATACAGTGATTGTTTATACAATTATGAGTTGATTATATATTAATATCACAACGAAATAGTGGTTAGAATTAATGATGAGTGCATTTACAGACTTAATATAGTGTTAAAACGAAAAACTTAGTTTTGTTAATGTGAAGTTTTTCTTTGATTTTGAGTGCGAATGTAGTATGTGCAGTGTCGATGATTTTAAAGCAAGAGGGTGAATAGTTAGTTTTGCATGAAGGTGATTTTAAAAGGTGTCAAAAGATATGTAAGTTTTTGTCAGTTGTGGTTTGTTCCCTGATTCTGGTGGATAAGTGACGGGAAGTTTCGCCAATATATCGGGAATTACATCCCGCACAATCGAATTGGTACACCACCATAGATTTAATGGAATCAGGGATAGGATCTTTGAATGAGAAGTAGTTTTTGATTTTAAAGGAATTGAAAATTAGTCGGATGTTAATGTCAGTGCAGAAGCGTTTGATGATGTTTGTAAGTCTGCGTTGTGTGTGTCGTGAATGATGTCCGATGTACGGTAGTTTGAAGTAAAGAGTTTTTATGGACTGTTCGTTGTTGTTGGTCGTGATGGTTATATCGGATGTTTTAATGTTTGCTTTGCAGTTAGTATTAGTTTAGTCATGGAGATATCGTTTGACGGTTTTGTTGATGAAGTGTAGTGGGAAAGAGTTGCGTAATAAAATAGATGTGATGTTCTTTAGGTCTTGTTGAAAGCCATTGTCGGTGTTGTTAATTTTGTATGCTCTGTCTATAAGTGTGCGTATTAATCCAGTCTTGTATGAAAGAGGTGTAAAACTGAAGTAGTCTGTCAATAGTCCTGTGTAGGTTGGTTTACGATAAGTTCACGTTTTATAGGTGTTATGTGATCTTGTTAATAAAATGTCTATAAAACGTAGTTGGTTTTGTCTTTCAGTTTCGAAAAAAAATTTAACGTTTGCGTGTTGTTTGTTGACGTAACTAAAAAAGTGCTGGCGGTAGAATAATTGTTTTGTATCGTTGTAGTTAGTAATACAGTTTTGTTCATGTGAGCCCATAAAGATGTTTGCAAGTATAGGTGCTAGGGGAGAACCCATTGCAGCACCGTCAGTCTGGTCGTAAAATTTTCCATCAAATAAAAAATGTGTTTGTGCCGTTGCTATTAAAAACAGTTGTTTTAGGTCTGTCTTGTTCATGGTGAACTTAGGGTTGTCGGTGAAAATAGCGTCAATGGCTAGATCAATCGTTTCAGTAAGCGGTATGTTAGTGAATAGGCTTTCAACATAGTAGGAGATTAAGAATTTGTGACAAGAAGCGGATGAGTTGAAAGATGAGAGTTCGTCGAGGAAAGTGAAAGAATCTTTAGTGGAGTGGTCATCTGGTATGAGTGGTGTTAGTATGGAACTGAGATACTTAGCTATAGATTGTAATTGTAAGAGTATTTCGATGAGAATATTGGTCGTAGTGGATGCGGTTGTTCTGCTTCACGTTTCTTGTGTAACTTGAGTGAGACATAAAAACGGGATGGTTGAGAGCCTTTAGGGACAATGTCATTTTATACTTGGTTGTCAATTGAACCCTTCTTTCTTAGTTTTCTTGGCAGTCGTTGTAATTTAGCTTCTCTGGATAGTGTAGGATTTTCTTCAAGCGGTTTGAACTTTACCGTTTTTTTTTATTACTCGAAGACGGTATGTTTGACGATCTAAGATGACAACGCCAATTTTTTTTCATACGAATCTGGTTTCCGCGTGGCAAATCTCTCGCTATTATTCTGCCATTGCCTTTGTCAGGTTTCAGAATAATAAGATTGGGATTGTTACGAATGTTTTTAAGGATCTGATTTCTCTGATAATTTGTGACTAACTTAGCTATTTACTTCAAAAACTGTGTTAAGAGATCCAGTTTGTTGTTGCCATAACCATGAACGTTTCTCGGCTATTTTTTATTCTACATACAACGATCTCGTGGAAAAGACAATTTTACACGTGGTTAGCTTGATTGGCACCTAATATCTGTGTTAGTTTAGGGTTTTTCTCTTAAATACTGACTTATATAATTTTTTTCGTTATAGTGCCGCTTATTTTTCTCAATGGCTTAGCGATAGTATTGGAATTGTTATTGGGATGAAGTCTAGTCAATGAAATGAACAGTAATGTACACGAATAGAAATGAACGGCTCTATTGGAAAAAATAATATGACTTCGTTTTGTACAGAAAGAACTTTAATAATTGTAATGATACATCAAAGAGAATCGTATGTACAAGGATGTAGCTTGTTCGCGTTCCGAGATTTAGAATTTAAAAAATCAAATTACCAAATAGTAATTTTATTAAATTACCGTAGAGTCTAGAAAGTAGCTCTCCTGAATGAATGCAGCCTCCCCCTGAAAGTAACCTTCCCCTCCTGAAAGCAGCCTTGCCCTTCTGAAAGTAGCCTTGCCCTCCTGAAAGTAGCCTCCTCCTCCTCCTGAAAGTAGCCTCACCCTCCTGAAAGTAGCCTCCCTCTCCTAGAGGTAGCCTCCCACTCCTAGAGGTAGGCTCCCCTCCTTGATCTAGGCTCCCCTTTCTAGAAGTAGGCTCTCCCTCCTAGAGGTAGGCTCCCCTTCTTGAGGTAGGCTCCCCCTCCTAGAGGTTGGCTCCCCCTCGAAAGTAGCCACTTTTTCAATAACTAAAGAATGGGAAAAGTAACCGCCGTCTTTGTGGAATTTTTAATAGCTTCACAAAATATATACTTTTTATCCAAATAAAACGTTCATGTACATTTGCGTCAACTAGCTACCACAAATTTTTACCAGACTAGACCGTTTCTTCATGGATTATGAGTTGACCATTGGAGTTAACCGATGGTGATTTCAAAGTAACCCCTTGAGGCTACTGATCTCGCACTGAACATTCCAGACTCTACGGTATTGTTTCAAGTTAAAACAATCAAAACATTTAGTGCAGTGTTCATGCAAAGACTTTTCCCCCAAACAGTTTTTATTTGATTCCAACGACCGACATTATCTAAAGGAAATAAAAAAGAGTAAAGACTCGTTTACGACTCATATGCTTTTGGTTAAAGGGGCGAAAAGTGAAACGAAAATTTTTCTATTTGAAGTATGTTTTCATTGAAGAGAACCCTAAAAATAGACAACATGCATTATTACGTCACTTATTAGTCACGCACTTGAAAACATTGCAATATGGCCACCTAGCCAAAGAGATCGTCCAGGTTGGTGTAGTCCTGAGAAGGACTGTTTTTTTTGTTGTTGATTGACGTTTCGACAACCTTAGCGGTAGTCATCTTCAGAGTCAAATGACTAAATTCATTTGACTCTGAAGATGACTACCGCTAAGGTTGTCGAAACGTCAGTCAACAACAACAAAAACAGTCCTTCTCAGGACTTTATTAACCTGGACGATCATCATTTACAAACATGTAACGATAACTCCCGGGTTCAAACCATTTATTTTAGCAAAAGAGAGTTTACTGCTGTTCTTAGTCACGTTTCTGAGGCATAAAGTACGACTGAAGGCCCTAGTTCTTTCGAAAACTTTTGCCCGGGTCTTCAGGAAACTTCTAGCTCAGAAAGTCGCGGCGAATCTAAGATAGACGATTCGATATTTGATCTTTAAATCGATTGCCAACTATTGTTCCGAAAGCCACAAAACCTTCTCAACCAAAACCTCGTCCAACTGAAAGCAAGAATTAGGACGCCTTTTGCTGGAATTACGAAACGCTTGAAACCAAGCAGATTGCTTTCTCAAGTAAACTCTCAATGCAATTGCAATGTTTTCATTTGCGTAACTGCTGAGTGACCTAATAATGCAAATTGTGTATTACTGTGGACTTTCTAAAACAGTTTATTTGTATCACTTTTCGTTATCGAGATGTTGAAGTTTTTGTTATGTCCGGTTTATACGGCTAGTGACGTCATATTGCATCTTATAAAATATACAAAATAAAACACGTGCGGTGATTGGTGTAAAGCTGTGTTTGCGTTAGCATTTGCAAACACATAATGCACTCTTATTTTTTAAATTAAACGCTGCAAATTTATAAATATCCCGGTGGGTGTTACTTATCAGCAAATTATTCCTGATTATTCCTTTTATCTTTATGCAATGTGACGTCACGTTCTGTATAAATCGGACATCACACAAAGCTTCAATATCTTGAGAATGCAAAGAGACGTGACTAAACTGTTTTAGAAAGAACAATTTCATTTTAAGAGTTCTTCTCAATGAAAATGTTCGCAATTTAAACAAGAAACATTTTCGTTATACAGGCCCTTTGCCAGGTGAATTTAGAATTATGACATTGTATTATTACAATCCTTGATCATAGTGAATTTCATGTGAAACTGACCTTCTCATATATTGTCCAAGTCGTGGCTGCCATTAATGTTCGTCTTGTTGCACGTGGTGCAAAACCTTTAAAGAATCCTTGAATCCCGTTTTCCTACGACAAAAAGAAACTTGTAACCAACAACACTCACCTCATCACTTCGTTTATATTTATAAAATAACAACAACACAACGCGTGCGCAGATTGGGCTATAGCCGAGTTTGCATTAGCCTGTGAAAACCGATCTAATCTCGATAAATTAAATCAATCGAAGAGATTCTCGAGTTTCGGTCTCGGGTTTGCACTGATCCGCTTTCGAGTTCTCCTCGGTTTGCATAAGCCTGTGCAAACACAGTAAACATCTTTTATTTCTTAAATACAAGTGTTCGTACATAGAAAACACTTTGAACCATCTCAAGATTGCTGTAAGGTCCCGTGCTTGCTTGTATCGATGTTTTTACAACATCGGCAGGGTGCGTTAGTAGAGAAGCAAGAAGACCAGATAATAGTCCACACATTGATACTGCAAGAGAATTGACTTCTTCTGTACCAAGGCCTGTGAGAGGAAATGAAAAATATTTCACTTGTTGTCACGGTAGAATTGGCGTTATCCGACGCGTTATACGTAGATTGAGGTTTACTCATCTTACTTTGTTTCACTATGTCTTTAATTTGACCATAAAACATTAGGTATATCCCTGAGAATGGTGCATCGCGTAATATTGTTGAAAAACTTCCCCTGTATAGACCTTAAACATTTAGAAAAACAACATTGTTTATGCTAATTCCAGTTGGAAGGTCGTTTTGTTACTTTTTTGCAATATGACTAAGAGGTTGGCCTGCGGACAGGCTGCCCACAAAAACAGCATAGAGAATTCTAAGTTCAGAGCTGTGCTTAAAGTTCAGAGCTGTGCTTAAAGTTGAGAGCTGTGCTTGAAGTTCAAAGCTGTGCTTAAAGTTCAAAGCTGTGCTTAAAGTTCAAAGCTGTGCTTAAAGTTCAAAGCTGTGCTTAAAGTTCAAAGCTGTGCTTAAAGTTCAAAGCTGTGCTTAAAGTACGAACCGTTAAATCCTTCTGTTGACCAAATTTCTTTCAAAGCACCTAGAACTGTTTTGTATTTATAGCATCCACTCTGAAACAAAAATATCATATACTGTTTTGTAGTATTTTTCCACATGTGATATAACCATACATGGATATTTTAATAAATTTCACAAAACCAAATTGTTTATGGCTATGTTCAAAATTATTTGTTGGGCTCTAATATTTATATTGAAAGTCTGTTTCCCGTCTGGCACTTCATTGGCAGCAATATTGATAAATGATATAACCATATATGGATATGACAATCTGTACTGGCTACCATGCACCATTAAGGCACCCCCCTGATTTGAATTGAAATGCAATTACTTCAGGGTGAGCTACAGACAAGGGCAATTGAAAAAACAATACAACAGCTCATTTTTGGATTAGCTTTACATTTCAATAGTCATAAAACATTTTAAATACATGACAAATTTCTTTAGAGCAAACATGTCTCAGCATACTTTATGCCATTTTAAGTGCTAAGTGAATCAGCTAAGGAAACCTTTCCTTCACATTTCTGGGCCAAGTCGTGAATAAAAGAAACATTAATGGAAATGTTATTAAAATTAACTAATTTAAAACTGACATTTAAAATTCAGTGGTCAGCCATCATGACTTAATTATTTTGACCAAGAGTCAAATGCTGTATGTATATGATTCCTCTTTTTTCCAGCTATTAAGAGGGATACACCGCGATAGCCAAATAGCAGCTCAGTTTCATTTGAAAACACTTTAAAAACATTGGTAATGGTTAAAAATGTCTAAAGTAGATAATTTCACCAACTGCTTTGTCATTTAATGTAAATGTAGCAAAGAATGAGCTGCTGTAATTTATTTCACCTAATGCCTGATAAGCCCTGAGGTGTTTATAAATTTCACCCTTAAAATGGCTAACTATCATGTGAACAAATAGTTGGCCATTGTTGTACACTGGCAGTCAAACAGAAATGCCATAAGATATGTGTAACAATGTTGGATAGCAATTTTGGATGGTGTAACCTACATACATCTAATGTTTTAGCATTTTGTCTCATTGTTACACTATTAGACTATCTTTATTGCTAGTGAGCAGTTCATTTTGACTGCCTATATGTATGATCAATGCTACTTCCTCAACTTGTACCATACCTCAAAACGAATCTTGATAATATTGGCTGGCATTAGGCACAATGCTGCAACACTTCGCGCTGTTGCACCTGAAGTGAACCATATGAAACTGCTGTGATTTTTTCTACATACATAAAACAGTCATCAATTGTTTACCACCTTGCTTTTCTAAATCCCATAGATATATTATAAGCTTAAATGTCACCTTAGTCCAGCATCCATCACATGCAAACAGCCATAGTATATTCCAACTCCAGGAACGGTCCGATACAGGGACTATTGTTGACAATTTAAAAATTTCGCATTGAATATCAAAGTAGACTTATGTGCTGGTCAATGTAAACCCCTCTACCCTCTGTCTCTAAAATTGCTCAAATACGATATAAAATTGTGTATTCCTTAGTGTTTCTTTCATTCTAATAGCAGAAAAAGGCCAGTCAAATTTTTTGCATTCTATAAGGTCAACACAAGACATATGGCTGTATTCTAAAGCTTGTTAAACTTGTGGAACAAAGAAAGCATGCTTTCTCACTAATCGTATGCAAACTCGTTTCTCTATGAATGAAAAGAGTTTTGCGAAAGTATTTCAAGCAAAGCAATCAGTTGAGTTAGAATACTGTCACTGAATGACAGGGGGGAGCTTCAAAGCTCATCCGACCTACGTAATCTTGTAAAAAGGCATGTATGGTCACATTGGAACTGGTGGGTTATTGTTTGGCTTTTGTAGACTTACTGGAATCACTCCCTTCCATAATCCTCGTACTTTATCCGTTTTCCAAACATTTACAAGTGATTGCCATAACCTTTCATGAAAAGAAAAACTATTTTAGCCGGATAATAAGTATGCCTCATCCCCCCCCCCCTTTCATTGGGAATGTTTGTTCATTTACCCATGCCCTTTGTTGATTTGTATCCTTGTCTTAACGAGATCCAATGGCTGAAAAAGTAATGTTGAAGTTGCACCACAAAACGATCCACAAACTATCGCCGTTTTCAAATTCTGTATGTTGAAATATAACGTTAGATAATCACGAGTGACGTGATGATTTTGGGTCGTTTTGGTTCGGCATAAGAAAACATAATATTCCCTGAGACCTTAGCTTTCTTTTCGCTCATGTTTTGTCGCGTTTAGTTCAATAGTCGCGCAGTTTTTCGACGAAACCTTCCGTCCATGTTTACATTTCTATTTTTTCAATTTTCCTCATGGCACAACCATGGGTAGTAATTACATCATTGCTGTTGACCTTACGTCATAAGATGAATAATCAAGTATTTCAAAAACCCATCACATCCTTGACCGGACGAGAATTTTATTTCACAAAGTACAATAAAAAGAGAATATATACCTAAAAATATATCTTGTAAACTCAAATTTAAGTTATAATCAAGATTCAATTGAAACTGTAATGTTTAGGTTTTTATTTCAAATCTTCCAGGTATTTATAGTGGGTTAATAAAATAAGACGCACGCAGTGGGGTAACGAAGGTACTTCAAAAACCATGACCAGCCGACAATTTAAAGAAGTATAATATAAAACAAATTCCGAAGAAGCAAGACATCTTGAGATTGCAAAATATGAATCAAAACAAGACGAGAAGTAAACTGTAAATTTTCGACTTTATTTCAAAGTCATCCTCAGAATGATTCTGTCTGAGGATGACTTTGAAATAAAGTCGAAAATTTACAGTTTACTTCTCGTTTTGTTGATTCATATTTTGCAATCTCAAGATGTCTTGCTTCTTCGAAGGTACTTCAGGTTCTAAATTTCTTAAAAGAAATTTAAATCCCCAATCATTGAGAGACCTAACTATCTTATGGCGCGCCAAGATGGACAATATTACCAAAATCGAAAATATTTACAACGAAACACATTATCGTATGTCGAAAATAATATACTGGCAACTTTTTCAATATTTGTAAAACGAAACGCAAAAATATAAAAGAAAACGAAAATTCGTTTACCATAATTTATATATACACAACGAAATTTATTTTTCAAGTTATGAAAGTTATTTTTATAAAACGAAACTCATTTATATAAAACGAAATTGACATTCATAAAACGACATTTTCTTCGAACAAACGACATTTTTTACCGCTTTTTTGCGGCCATTATTTTGTAGCCTGCAAAGAGCCATCCACCAGAGCCCTCTATAGTATAAGAGTTGGGACAAACGGTCTGGGGCGAGCGCGGAGCCGCCATTTTGGTTCCTACTTGCAAAGTGAAACTATAATAATACTATTGGAAATTGGGTTTATATGCAAAAGAAGAAAGCAATTTAAGCTTATTCCATGGTAGTATCAAATATATTAGGAATAATAGCAAGCTCTTTGCGTTTTTTTAACGATTTGCGGCAGACCTGATTTAATTTCATTGGTTTGAGCTTCGTTTGCGGTTTACTAGTTCTTGCTTCAAATTGATCGTGACCCATTGTAAGAAGTATTTTTCGTACGTGAACGTGTTTTCTCGGCTTATGTTCCGACTCTGTAACAAGTTTTCAAGATCTTTAAGCTTGGTGGCAAGCGGCAATGTTGTCCTGGCTTCAGTGTTATCAAATACTTGGACAAGACTTTGTTCGAAACTTTGAATCATAGTAATCATGCAGATTTGGTCCGGAGAGATTTGTGTTCAAGATTTGTAACAATTTAATGGTAGTGAGTGATTTATGCCCCAATTTAAGCCAAGCATGATATTTTTTATTCTGAAAGATCACAAAATTTTCTTGCTCAGCAGAAAATGACAGACTTTTTTACTTTTTAGTTATTGAAATATGCAATGATTTGACCAAGATGCATTTGACCTTAAACGTTTTATTCCTGTATATGAAGTTATTTCGCCTTTATCACTTTATAAAGTTTATTTCTAATAAAGTTTGTTAGGGATTCTGCTGAAAATTTTGGTGAAGCATTTCTTTAAAATGAATATATTATTTCTATAATATGAAACATTTCTGTTGTTGTTTGTTTGCTATAAATGCTACTGTTTGTAGTCTTTTATACAGCATATGAGTCTGATCCAATCTTTAATTTAGCAGAGTTAAATTTATTGGTTGAGGAATGACAAAACTTCTATATGTGTTTAATGATCAAACAGGGGTGTGTTGGAGGGAGCTCAGCCCCGTTTGTTCAAATTCTATGCCTTGTATTGCCAGTGAAATATATATATCAAAAAGCTAGCAGCACCTAAATATATATCAGAAAGCCGGCAATATTTTAATATATATGAGAAAGGCAGCAACAGTTGTAATATACATTAAAAAGCCCAAATAGCTGAAATTATGGAGATATGCCTCTGTGATCTTATAAACCAAAACCTACAATTAAAATATCATCAACAAGTCTAGAAGAGAAGTAATGTTCTACTTTGAGCTACAGAAGTAGGATACATTTGTCCAATTCAATACCAAAAATATATTGTACTCAGCTGTTTCATTGAATATCCTAATTATAATTACTTCATTTTTAAATGATGAACTAAAAATACAAAATACAACATGGAAAATCATAAGAGTTTCTGTGATTTGGTGTAGTTGTTTTAGTGTGGAAGTGGCTGAGAATTGAGAGGTTTGTAGATTGATCAATTTCAGAACATAATGAGAAATCATCTTCGATTAAAAAACAAGCTTTGGAGTAAGAAAACTATTGAAACTGCATCAGCACGAACTTTGCAATGTGATTTGCCCCAAAAATGTTTCTCTACTTGAGTCAGTTAATTGAACCTTATATCAAAAGCAGTTCAGCACAACAATCACCATGCGCAATCAAATTTCGTAAGTTCGACGTAAAGGCATTTCTTTCATTTTTTTCGTAATCCTCGATTTATGCGATATGTAATGACATTTAGTAGCCTTCAACAATCAGTTATTACACACTTATCCATAAAAACGCAATATTATCTCAAAATACTGTATTACTAGCAGCAATTGCTATATAAACACAAGCTAAAATTTCAAAACTAGGAACCAAAATGGCGGAAATTGATCAGGTGATCAATATTGACCAATCAACGTAAGCTAAACGGATAACAATAGATGTCCCAACTCTTATACTATAGAGGGCTCTGACTATCTACACCAGTGTGAGAGCAAAAGTATTGTTTTTCTGCAATGAAACTTATCGATAACGATAGGCTTTGTCAGTTTTTGGTGATCAGTCTGTAATCAGTATAAATTGCATGGAATCTCCCCAACCCAGAATCAGAAACATTTATTGGAAAATATATGTTTCTCGTTCTCGTTCTCGTTTCCAGTCAGCGCGCGCTGACCATTATATTGACAGTATTATCCAGAATATAAACCCATAATTTGCCCTATTAACCTTGGGTATTTTGCAAGGAAAATGATTACATTTATAAAATGTTTTCGTTTGAAAATATCTTCATTTTATTGGTTTTTCAGCAATAACTTTTCCATTAGTTTACGGTTTTTCCGAATGTCCTTTTATCTCGGCATTTCTTGTTTATCCCAAACAAATTCTATTAAGGAATTTTTTAAGTTATTAAGGAATTCCTCGCGTAATTTCTTTGATGCTCTTTGTGATCCACTTTTCCCTTTCAGCTCTCGGCGGTAAATTGATATTCGTCTCTTTGAAATACTACTCAAAGTTGACTTCATTTTCATAATAACACGACATCGCATGGAATTGAATTTATTGACTTTCAAGGGGGAAGTTTATCTTCAAAAGAGCGGCCGAAAATTTATCGGCGAAGAACTCATTATTAATCAACATCCAGCAGCTGTCATGTGAAATTATCGTTCGTTTGGGAAAATTTGACATTCTGATTTAAAATCTCGAAGCTTCGAAATGAACTCAAGAATTCTTTATATTCTTATATTTGTAACATTTACGTGTCATTTTAACCAAGGGAAAATGGAAAAGATTTCACTTCGCATGCCGGGTGTTAGTCCTCGAAGAGTAAGTGCTTGTAACATTCTCTGATAATTTCATGATTTTATCTGCACTTTCTGTTTGTTTTGCTCTTTGTGAAGTTAAGAAATTGTACCTTGTTTTGCAACGTTTCTTAAACCGTTTTACTTCGCGGAAGAACTTTATCTCTAACGAATACTGTTGAGACTCAAAAAAACTTATCTCGAGTTCTTAAAAAATACAATACGCGCTCTGACAATTTTCACTAATCATTGACGAAAAGCATTTGTGTTTCATCCAAAGACATCATTAGAGAAACAGAAAATGAATTCTATCGAAAGTTTAAACACATATAATATAGATAATAAAATCTGTTGAGTTCTAACGAATTCCCGTTCGAATAAGACTTCGAATTACCTGTGTTTCGTCTTGGTATATTCGGTTAGTCGACTTGTTGACAATGATTTACTAGCTCATAAGTTAATGCACAAACTTTCCCGAAACCGATATGAATGCAATTAATTTGTTTTTCTTTCAGAATGATAGCTACATTTGTACATCACTGGAGCTATCTGAAGATCCCGTTTACATTGGTATGTGTTAAGATTTTAATTGAAATCTTTCTTTTGCCTTGATAGAAATGTGCGGGAAACTTTGCTAATGAAGTAGACAGAAAAAGGTTATTTTCAAAAAGCTTCTGACTCTTATCTTTGTACAGACAGCAAAGGCAAAAGAATGTTTTCACTTTCTTCTTCATGGTTAATTTATTTTGTTTGGCTGCGGCAATTTATGTATGACTGGACATTAATCCAATTGGCAACTTTTTGGCAGATAGTGTCTGGAATACATATGGATCTAGGGCAAAATGTACCTTGTGATCCCTTTTTTCCTTTCCCATGGCTCAGTTTACTCCCATATTACCATCCTTTATTGTAGGTACCCCTAGAGTTGGGGCTTAGAGCAAATGCCTTCTACCCCATGACACCACCCTCACTATCTTATGGTGAGTTGATTTTATACTTGGTAATAAAGTCCAATGTTCTTTGGTTATTTTAGTGAAATTTGAGCCAAATGCTCATAAAGAAAGGGCCCATCACATGCTGTTGTTTGGATGTGAAGAACCAGGAAGTGATGAGAAATTTTGGTATGAAACAAAACATAAAAAAGTCTGTGACATTAGAAAAGAAAATTATACATGTCTGTGTAAGCAGCCTGTTTATCTCGTCCTTTATGTTGGTGTTAACAGTTACGAAATTTACATGTTGCCACTAAAACTAGCACCTGGCTGGTCTACTTAGCAGTGGTGCCTTACAGCCATATTAGGGGGGCAGCCCACTTTGCCCTACCCCCCCCTTGTTGGCTACTTTACATGTTTAGTGTTCAGCATTGGCTCTTGGAAAGAGTGTTTATTGTCTCTAGCCTACCGCTTAGCTCATAATGCTATAGGTGTTTGTAAAAATAAAATGTTCAAGGGATTCCTCAGAGACTTTCAATTGGATATCTTCACATGTAAGGCCTTTTAATTCTTTAAGGCCTTTTAATTCATCAACCAGAAAATATTGGAACAAGTAAAATCAGAAATCTGTGTCTCTTAGTATATTTGCATGATGTCTTTCACTAGGAACTGTGGAGATATGGGATCTGGAACATGTTCTGGCTCAGAATCCATTCTATTTGGATGGGCACGTGATGCTCCTGCATTGAAACTACCCAAAGGTTGGATTACTATCCTATAGAAAGTTTCACAGACTGTTGAACATTGTGTAATTTCGCAGCATCCAATCAACTTTCGAGACATGTTTTGCACATCAAATCTTTTGCTTTTACAACATTCCAGTATTGTCAACTGGTTGATGTCTTTATTTCTCTTTATTGCACATTCTGTAGATGTTGGATTTAAAATTGGTGGTAATACCAAAATTCAATATCTCACGCTTCAAATACATTATGTTCATGCTCTCAAAGGTGAAGTAACAAAATTCATTCTCTTCAACCAAAACTTAACATGTCTTGTGATTTACTTAAGAAATAAAAGATTTTTACCGTGTATGCAAAGGCTTTTGCAAAGCAAGGAGATTTTAGGGAAAATTTGAGAACAGTTCAGTGCAAGACTGAAGGTTGAGGGTTGCATAAGCCAGTGCAAACACAAAAAACTTCTTTTGTTTCTTATATAAAATAACAATAATCTGCAACACCCAAATTTAAAACAAACGTTTTAATTTTTCACCTACAATGTATTCATGTTCGATTGATTGATCAATTGATTGATCGATTGGTTGATTTGATTGATTGATTTGATTGATTTGATTGGTTGGTCACAGATCGGTTTGCACAGACCAATCAGCACACATGTTGCATTGTTTTTAATTTATAAATAAAGTTTTCTCACAAATTTATTATCAGTTTCATAAAGGAGATTAAGGTGATATTTATTAAATTGAACCTTTCGATGTTCATTTTTTAGAAAGTGTTTTTGACAGTTCTGGATTAACGATGAAAATAACCAAAGCTCCGTAAGTTGTTTTTCAATACTTTATGTAAACTTGTGGGTAGTGAAGTTTGAAAAATGAGTTCAGTAAATTTTTTTTCCCTTCAACTTATCAGCCAATTAAACCTTGCATCAATATATCTCCTGGTAGCTGGATATGCATCAATACCTCCACACACTAAAGGTATGCCACAAGTTGTATCTGAGCAGTTGTTGAACTCAACTATGTATATGTCACTTAATGTATGGTTTAATGTTGAAGATTGAGTCCTTACATACTCCAGTCTAGTGTCTTCATCAGTAGTGATCTAATGTGGAAACTTGAGTTCCAGTCTAGTGTCTTCAGTGTGCGAATTAACGGTGTGCAATGTGCAATTTGCACATCGTTTTATCTAAAATGAAAACAATTGCACATCACTTTTTCAAACGATGTGCAAAAATCAGCGGTTTTAACGAAAAACGCTGTCGTAAATCATATGAATTTGTTCACGTTTAAAAATATTAATTTAGCATTTAGCGCTATATAACAATTAACGTAATAAAACACATTGTGTCAACATGGATTTTAATGCCGTGCAGCGCACTCGTTTATAATGTAAAGATCAGTAAAGACTAAGCTTGAAAACTTACTTCAATTTATGTGGTAGTAATCAATAAAGAAGTTTTTTGCATATCGTTTGAAAAGTGATGTGTAATTGTGTTCATTTTAGCTAAAACGATGTGCAAATTGCACATTGCACACCGTTCATTCGCACACTGCTTATATACTCCAGTCTAGTGCCTTCATCAGAAGTAATCTGATGTTGAAATTTGAGTCCTTACATACTACAGTCTAGTGTCTTCATCTGGAGTGATCTGAAGTTAAAACTTGAGTCCTTTCATACTCCAGTCTAGTGTCTTCATCAGGAGAGATCTAATGTTAAAATATTGAGTGCATCATTTTTTATTTCAATAGGTTATCATGTCGATGTTGCCTGTAAATATGACAGTGATCAAGATATACATGCATTTGCTTTTCGCACTCACGCTCATGACTTAAGTACGTTTTCTGTAATGCGTCAATTTAGCTCTTCGTGACATTGCAAGAGATATTTGTCATTCAGCGAAGTCTGCGTAACTTATCTTTAGTCGTGATGTTTCATTAAATCTTATTCCCATAACTGTAGGCCGTGTGATTACTGGATATAGAGTGAGAAACAACATGTGGACGATGTTGGGTAAAGGGGACCCCCATGCCCCACAGGTAGGATGAATCCTATATCTTGAAACGTCATTTTAAACTTCAGCGGGTAATTACTGGTTGTAATTGTGTAATGTTAATCAATTTGTTTGATCCATGGTGTTTTTAAGTATTTATTGAACATTGTACTTTTTTGTAGACTTTCTATCTAATATTGTGCTCTTCTGTAGGCTTTCTATTAAATTTTCTCTTTTTTGTAGGCTTTCTATCCAATGTTGTGCTCTTTTGTAGGCTTTCTATCCAATGTTGTGCTCTTTTGTAGGCTTTCTATTAAATTTTCTCTTTTTTTGTAGGCTTTCTATCCAATGTTGTGCTCTTTTGTAGACTTTCTATTAAATTTTCTCTCTTTTTTTGTAGGCTTTCTATCCAATGGACAATGTTACAACAATAAGGAAAGGAGATATTTTGGTACGTTTTTATTTAGATGAAAAACTGAAAAGCGTTAAACATTAAACATGAAACTAATCTCTGTCAATCCGAGCTTAAACTTTTGCACGAAGCGTGTAGAATACGAAAGTTTACAGGAATGTAGACCTTCGTTGAAGAGTAACGGAAATTGATGTACTCGCATTATATGATGCCATGTACAGTACACTATTTTTCGTAAGGACAGCTTTTTTAAGATTTTTCAGGTCGACTTTTCAAAAAGTTAGAACAAATTAAGAATAATTAGGCTGACGAAAAAAATTACATAATGAAGAAAATAATATCTTGGCATCTTTATTTAAATACAACAACGTATTTAGGCGGCAAGATGTACATACGATACTTTACACAGTGGAAGAAGAAAGGCGACAGGAATGGGGTAAGTTTTTTGTAAATGGTTTCTTAATTACCCTTACCAAAATTTCATATCTCGGATTCAATAGATTTTACATGGTTATCGCGTAGTAACCTGATTGGCTAATGGCAAATTACGTAATGTTTTGTCACATAGAAGTACCTTATTACGTATGTGATTAGCATAATGGCATCCAGTCAATTACATTTACCGATCAGAAGGAACGCTGAGACCCGTTTCATACGTTGGACTTGACATGAGCCGAATGCATTTCAAACAAAGACAATGAAAAAGTTTATCCCATTTTCTTCGGCCTTTGTGGACGTTTGAAACATGCCTGAGATGACTACATGCATCTTGTGATTTAATGAAAGGGTTTGTAAAACGAAAATTTTTGCTATGAAAATTACATGTATTGTCGTTGAAGATAACTCTTAAAATGTCCGATTTATACACAAAGTGACGTCACATTACATAACGAGAATTTGACTTCTTAAGAATATTTGCTTATATGTTACATCAACCCGACACAGTTCCTGTCTTGTAAAGTTTTGATGGTATAAAAAGTTTTTCATCCAAAAGTTCACTGGAAGTTGAAGGATTTCAAAATTTGCAGCGACTCATTTTGCAATGTGACGTCACTATCTCTACAAATCGGACATCACAAAAAACTTCGATATGTTGAGAATGCAAAGAAATATGACGAAACTGTTTTAGAAAATCCACTGTCATTTTATTAGTTCTTCTCGATGAAACTGTAATTTTTATGGCAAATTTTCGTTTTAATGGCCTTTAAATATACAACACCAAGTTGCTCACAAAAATGGCCCTACTGTTTATTCCTTGAATTTAGAAAGAAAAGTTTTCATTTTCATTCAAAACGTTTTTTCTTTAAACAATCATAGAGTATTTATGATAAACAAATGCGTTTTTTTTTTACACCAACCTTATCGGATATTTTACGTAGGTCAACGGCGGCCGACGAGATGTGCAACTTCTACATGATGTTTTATCGCAGTGCGAATACTAATGTCGAAATTCCAGAAACATGCTTTGATCAGATCACCTACCGAAGCCTTTACGATTCTTTTCCGAATGGTTCCGATGTTGCCCTGTCTTCTGGTTCCCATCATCACCACCATCATCACGTCAATTCAAACGAACGGCGTAATGAAATCATCACAGAGTCCAACATCACCGTAGGTAGTACGTCAATGCCCGAGCAGACATCGAATATTTCCGACTACACGTTAAAGGACACTAGTATTGAACACAACATGTCTGACATTGTCCACCATCGCTTAACAAGTTCAACTCAATCATTGAGCCGTGAAACAAGCACTAACACCCCTAAGCCAACGATGAACAGTCAATGGACATCGATTCCTAATGTAACCATGGTGACCTCGTGGCCGTCGTCCGTTACTGAGGGTTTGGGGCAAGTCACGGGACTTGCAGTGGATTCATCAGATTATCTGTTCCTCTTTCATCGTTGTGAACGAGTTTGGGATTGGAAGTTGGTATTTTTGAGTTGAGGATCGTTTCCCTCTCATCGATTGCTTTCCACTCAAGTTTCGTATAATTTTTGCTATTTTTAGTACATTCTCTCGAGACAACGTTTTTCAAAATGCTCAATCACGTGGTCCTATCCGTAGTCCCACAATTCTCATATTGGATAGTGTCAGCGGTAAGGTTTTGGAGAAACATGGTAGCAATATGTTTTACCTCCCCCACGGTATGACAATTGACCATCAAGATAATCTCTGGCTTACCGACGTTGGTCGGCACCAGGTAAGGTGACACAGGTCACGGATGTGTGTAATGAAATTTTCCAGTGTTTTGCGCATGTCACGAAGCTTTTCCCGCATACTTCACCTTAGCATGTAGAGTTTGAAAATTTGAAGAAAGGTCTTGAAAAGATCCATGATTAAGGCTTATACATAGCAGTAGCGAAACTGGCCCGTTTTAACTCCTACAATGCGAATATATTTGTTTGCTCTCAGTGGCCAAAAGAATTAATGAAATTAATTTTCTGAAGAGATAATTTTGCTGAAAAATTTGCATTGTCGGAGTAAAAGATCGGGCTGACTTCGCTACTCAAACAGCCATGTGCAATTGACCGTGCAGCGTGCATAAATTAACGTGTGTTGTAGTTTCAAAACTTGACTTTACTCATTGTTGCTAAGCGTACGCGTTTACTTATGGAAGATGTTCTTTTTATTCAATAAACAACCGTGACATGTCGAAATTTGGCAAGTATGGAAAGACGTTTGAAAAACGTTAAACTTTATCGTTAGATATTAGACTTTAAATTGATATTAGAGAGATTTAGCAAACACGACGTATCGTCTAAGACGCCGTGAAAATGACGTAATTATGGCGTGGACTAAACCATATATGGATATATCATGCCATTTTTACGCCATTTTCACGACCTCTTAAACGATACGTCGTGTTTGCTAAAGCTCCCTATTGGTGAAACATAGTTTGTCTTTGTTGTCGACTCGAACTGCAACACTTTGCTATTAACCAACGCTATCTCAGGGTTACGCCTTAGAAACAATCAGATAGCTGTATAGTAACGTCAAGTTAGCTGTATAGCAACGTCAAGTTAGCTGTATAGTAACGTCAAGTTAGCTGTATAGTAACATCAAGTTAGCTGTATAGCAACGTCAAGTTAGCTGTATAGTAACATCAAGTTAGCTGTATAGTAACGTCAAGTTAGCTGTATAGTAACGTCAAGTTTGCTGTATAGTAACGTCAAGTTAGCTGTATAGTAACGTCAAGTTAGCTGTATAGTAACGTCAAGTTTGCTGTATAGTAACGTCAAGTTAGCTGTATAGTAACGTCAAGTTAGCTGTTTAGTAACGTCAAGTTAGTTGTATAGTAACGTCAAGTTAGCTGTATAGTAACGTCAAGTTTGCTGTATAGTAACGTCAAGTTTGCTGTATAGTAACGTCAAGTTAGCTGTATAGTAACGTCAAGTTAGCTGTATAGTAACGTCAAGTTAGTTGTATAGTAACGTCAAGTTAGCTGTATAGTAACATCAAGTTAGTTGTATAGTAACATCAAGTTAGATGTATAGTAACGTCAAGTTAGATGTATAGTAACGTCAAGTTAGATGTATAGTAACGTCAAGTTAGGTGTATAGTAACGTCAAGTTAGCTTTATAGTAATGTCAAGTTAGCTGTATAGTAACGTCAAGTTAGCTGTATAGTAATGTCAAGTTTTCTGTATAGTAACGTCAAGTTAGCTGTATAGTAACGTCAAGTTAGCTGTATAGTAACGTCAAGTTAGCTGTATAGTAACGTCAAGTTAGCTGTATAGTAACGTCAATTTTGCTGTATAGTAACTTCAAGTTTGCTGTATAGCAACGTCAAGTTAGCTGTATAGTAACGTCAAGTTAGTTGTATAGTAACGTCAAGTTAGTTGTATAGTAACATCAAGTTAGTTGTATAGTAACGTCAAGTTAGCTGTATAGTAACATCAAGTTAGCTGTATAGTAACGTCAAGTTAGCTGTATAGTAACGTCAAGTTAGATGTATAGTAACGTCAAGTTAGATGTATAGTAACGTCAAGTTAGATGTATAGTAACGTCAAGTTAGCTTTATAGTAATGTCAAGTTAGCTGTATAATAACGTCAAGTTAGCTGTATAGTAACGTCAAGTTAGCTGTTCAGTAACATCAAGTTAGCTGTATAGCAACGTCAAGTTAGCTGTATAGTAACGTCAAGTTAGTTGTATAGTAACATCAAGTAAGCTGTATAGTAACGTCAAGTTAGTTGTATAGTAACGTCAAGTTGGCTGTATAGTAACATCAAGTTAGCTGTATAGTAACATGAAGTTAGTTGTATAGTAACATGAAGTTAGTTGTATAGTAACATGAAGTTAGTTGTATAGTAACGTCAAGTTGGCTGTATAGTAACATCAAGTTAGCTGTATAGTAACATGAAGTTAGTTGTATAGTAACATGAAGTTAGTTGTATAGTAACATGAAGTTAGTTGTATAGTAACGTCAAGTTAGCTGTATAGTAACATCAAGTTAGCTGTATAGCAACGTCAAGTTAGCTGTATAGTAACGTCAAGTTAGCTGTATAGTAACGTCAAGTTTGCTGTATAGTAACGTCAAGTTAGCTGTATAGTAACGTCAAGTTAGCTGTATAGTAACGTCAAGTTTGCTGTATAGTAACGTCAAGTTAGCTGTATAGTAACGTCAAGTTAGCTGTATAGTAACCTCAAGTTAGCTGTATAGTAACGTCAAGTTTGCTGTATAGTAACGTCAAGTTTGCTGTATAGTAACGTCAAGTTAGCTGTATAGTAACATCAAGTAAGCTGTATAGTAACGTCAAGTTAGCTGTATAGTAACATCAAGTTAGTTGTATAGTAACGTCAAGTTGGCTGTATAGTAACATCAAGTTAGCTGTATAGTAACATGAAGTTAGTTGTATAGTAACATGAAGTTAGTTGTATAGTAACCTGAAGTTAGTTGTATAGTAACATCAAGTTAGCTGTATAGTAACATGAAGTTAGTTGTATAGTAACATGAAGTTAGTTGTATAGTAACATGAAGTTAGTTGTATAGTAACGTCAAGTTGGCTGTATAGTAACATCAAGTTAGCTGTATAGTAACATGAAGTTAGTTGTATAGTAACATGAAGTTAGTTGTATAGTAACGTCAAGTTAGCTGTATAGTAACATCAAGTTAGCTGTATAGCAACGTCAAGTTAGCTGTATAGTAACGTCAAGTTAGCTGTATAGTAACGTCAAGTTTGCTGTATAGTAACGTCAAGTTAGCTGTATAGTAACGTCAAGTTAGCTGTATAGTAACGTCAAGTTTGCTGTATAGTAACGTCAAGTTAGCTGTATAGTAACGTCAAGTTAGCTGTATAGTAACCTCAAGTTAGCTGTATAGTAACGTCAAGCTGTATAGTAACGTCAAGTTTGCTGTATAGTAACGTCAAGTTAGCTGTATAGTAACATCAAGTAAGCTGTATAGTAACGTCAAGTTAGCTGTATAGTAACATCAAGTTAGTTGTATAGTAACGTCAAGTTGGCTGTATAGTAACATCAAGTTAGCTGTATAGTAACATGAAGTTAGTTGTATAGTAACATGAAGTTAGTTGTATAGTAACATGAAGTTAGTTGTATAGTAACGTCAAGTTGGCTGTATAGTAACATCAAGTTAGCTGTATAGTAACATGAAGTTAGTTGTATAGTAACATGAAGTTAGTTGTATAGTAACATGAAGTTAGTTGTATAGTAACGTCAAGTTAGCTGTATAGTAACATCAAGTTAGCTGTATAGCAACGTCAAGTTAGCTGTATAGTAACGTCAAGTTAGCTGTATAGTAACGTCAAGTTTGCTGTATAGTAACGTCAAGTTAGCTGTATAGTAACGTCAAGTTTGCTGTATAGTAACGTCAAGTTAGCTGTATAGTAACGTCAAGTTAGCTGTATAGTAACCTCAAGTTAGCTGTATAGTAACGTCAAGTTTGCTGTATAGTAACGTCAAGTTTGCTGTATAGTAACGTCAAGTTAGCTGTATAGTAACGTCAAGTTAGCTGTATAGTAACGTCAAGTTAGCTGTATAGTAACGTCAAGTTAGCTGTATAGTAACGTCAAGTTAGCTGTATAGTAACGTCAAGTTAGTTGTATAGTAACATCAAGTTAGATGTATAGTAACGTCAAGTTAGATGTATAGTAACGTCAAGTTAGTTGTATAGTAACATCAAGTTAGCTGTATAGTAACATGAAGTTAGTTGTATAGTAACATGAAGTTAGTTGTATAGTAACATGAAGTTAGTTGTATAGTAACGTCAAGTTAGCTGTATAGTAACATCAAGTTAGCTGTATAGCAACGTCAAGTTAGCTGTATAGTAACGTCAAGTTAGCTGTATAGCAACGTCAAGTTAGCTGTATAGTAACGTCAAGTTAGCTGTATAGGAACGTCAAGTTTGCTGTATAGTAACGTCAAGTTAGCTGTATAGTAACGTCAAGTTAGCTGTATAGTAACGTCAAGTTTGCTGTATAGTAACGTCAAGTTAGCTGTATAGTAACGTCAAGTTAGCTGTATAGTAACGTCAAGTTAGCTGTATAGTAACGTCAAGTTTGCTGTATAGTAACGTCAAGTTTGCTGTATAGTAACGTCAAGTTAGCTGTATAGTAACGTCAAGTTAGCTGTATAGTAACGTCAAGTTAGCTGTATAGTAACGTCAAGTTAGCTGTATAGTAACTTCAAGTTAGCTGTATAGTAACGTCAAGTTAGTTGTATAGTAACATCAAGTTAGATGTATAGTAACGTCAAGTTAGATGTATAGTAACGTCAAGTTAGTTGTATAGTAACATCAAGTTAGCTGTATAGTAACGTCAAGTTAGATGTATAGTAACGTCAAGTTAGTTGTATAGTAACATCAAGTTAGCTGTATAGTAACGTCAAGTTAGCTGTATAGTAACATCAAGTTAGCTGTATAGTAACGTCAAGTTAGCTGTATAGTAACGTCAAGTTTGCTGTATAGTAACGTCAAGTTAGCTGTATAGTAACGTCAAGTTAGCTGTATAGTAACATGAAGTTAGTTGTATAGTAACATGAAGTTAGTGGTATAGTAACATGAAGTTAATTGTATAGTAACGTCAAGTTAGCTGTATAGTAACATCAAGTTAGCTGTATAGCAACGTCAAGTTAGCTGTATAGTAACGTCAAGTTAGCTGTATAGTAACGTCAAGTTAGCTGTATAGTAACGTCAATTTTGCTGTATAGTAACTTCAAGTTTGCTGTATAGCAACGTCAAGTTAG